TCTCCGGCAATGTCTGGGGAATGTCTCTGGCAATGTCTGGGGATGTTTCTGGAATGTCTCCGGCAATGTCTGGGGAATGTCTCTGGCAATGTCTGGGAATGTTTCTGGAATGTCTCCGGCAATGTCTGGGGAATGTCTCTGGGAATATCTTGGGATTGCCTGGGGAATGTCTCCGGCATTGCCTCTGGCAATGTCTGGGGAATATCTTGGGATTGTCTGGGGAATGTCTCCGACAATGTCCCAGGAATGTCTCGGGGAATATCTTGGGATTGTCTCTGGAATATCTTGGGATTGTCTTGGGAATGTCTCCGGCATTGCCTCTGGCAATGTCTGGGGAATCTCTTGGGAATGTCAGGGGAATGTCTCCGACAATGTCCCAGGAAAAGTCCCGGCAATGTCTACTGAGTGTCGCGGGAACTTCTCCGGAATGTCCCAGGAATGTCTCGGGGAATATCTTGGGATTGTCTCTGGAATATCTTGGGATTGTCTTGGGAATGTCTCCGGCATTGCCTCTGGCAATGTCTGGGGAATCTCTTGGGAATGTCAGGGGAATGTCTCCGACAATGTCTCAGGAATGTCCCGGCAATGTCTACTGAGCGTCGCGGGAACTTCTCGGGAATGTCTCCAGCAACGTCTCGGGGAATGCCTCGGGAATTTCTGCGGAACGTCTCGGGAATTTCTCTGGAATCTCTCGGGAATTATCCCGGGAATGTCCCCGGCACTGTCTGGGAATGTTTCTGGAATGTCTCCGGCAATGTCTGGGGAATGTCTCTGGCAATGTCTGGGGAATGTCTGGGGAATGTCTCTGGCAATGTCTGGGGAATGTCTGGGGAATGTCTCCGGCATTGTCTCTGGCAATGTCTGGGGAATGTCCCAGGAATGTCCCGGCAATGTCTGGGGAATGTCCCAGGAATGTCCCGGCAATGTCTGGGAATGTTTCTGGAATGTCTCTGGCAATGTCTGGGGAATGTCTATGGAATATCTCTGGCATGTCTGGGGAATCTCTTGGGAATGTCAGGAGAATGTCTCCGACAATGTCCCAGGAATGTCCCGGCAATGTCTACTGAGTGTCGCGGGAACTTCTCCGGAATGTCCCGGGAAAGTCCCAGCAATGTCTGGGGAATGTCTCTGGCAATGTCTGGGGAATGTCCCTGGCAATGTCTGGGGAATGTCTCTGGCAATGTCTGGGGAATGTCTCTGGCAATGTCTGGGAATGCCTCGGGAAAGTCTGTTCTGTGTCCATTTTGTGCGGTGTTTACAGCGCGTTGACACCGTTCAGAAGCGCTGAATAAATAACCGAACCCGTGCCTCACTGCGTTGAACTTGGTCCACTTGGAGTGCCCCTAGGCTACACACAGACACAGACAAAGCTCCCCCAGGTAGCCTCTAGCAGGGCTGTAGGGGCAAGTGCTGTTACACACACACAGACAAAGCTCCCCCAGGTAGCCTCTAGCAGGGCTGTAGAGGCAAGTGCTGTTACACACACAGACAAAGCTCCCCCAGGTAGCCTCTAGCAGGCTGTAGGGGCAAGTGCTGTTACACACACACAGACAAAGCTCCCCCAGGTAGCCTCTAGCAGGGCTGTAGAGGCAAGTGCTGTTACACACACAGACAAAGCTCCCCCAGGTAGCCTCTAGCAGGCTGTAGGGGCAAGTGCTGTTACACACACACAGACAAAGCTCCCCCAGGTAGCCTCTAGCAGGGCTGTAGGGGCAAGTGCTGTTACACACACACAGACAAAGCTCCCCCAGGTAGCCTCTAGCAGGGCTGTAGGGGCAAGTGCTGTTACACACACACACAGACAAAGCTCCCCCAGGTAGCCTCTAGCAGGGCTGTAGGGGCAAGTGCTGTCACACACACAGACAAAGTTCCCCCAGGTAGCCTCTAGCAGGGCTGTAGGGGCAAGTGCTGTTACACACAAAGCTCCCCCAGGTAGCCTCTAGCAGGGCTGTAGGGGCAAGCGCTGTTACACACACAGACAAAGCTCCCCCAGGTAGCCTCTAGCAGGGCTGTAGGGGCAAGTGCTGTTACACACAGACAAAGCTCCCCCAGGTAGTCTCTAGCAGGGATGTAGGGGCAAGTGCTGTGACATACACCGACAAAGCTCCCCCAGGTAGCCTCTAACAGGCTGTAGGGGCAAGTGGTGTTACACACACACAGACAAAGCTCCCCCAGGTAGCCTATAGCAGGGCTGTAGGGGCAAGTGCTGTTACACACACACAGACAAAGCTCCCCCAGGTAGCCTCTAGCAGGGCTGTAGGGGCAAGTGCTGTTACACACACAAACAAAGCTCCCTCAGGTAGCCTCTAGCAGGGATGTAGGGGCAAGTGCTGTTACACATACACAGACAAAGCTCCCCCAGGTAGCCTCTAGCAAGGCTGTAGGGGCAAGTGCTGTTACACACACAGACAAAGCTCCCCCAGGTAGCCTCTAGCAGGGCTGTAGGGGCAAGTGCTGTTACACACAGACAAAGCTCCCCCAGGTAGTCTCTAGCAGGGCTGTAGGGGCAAGTGCTGTTACACACACAGACAAAGCTCCCCCAGGTAGCCTCTAGCAGGGCTGTAGGGGCAAGTGCTGTTACACACACAGACAAAGCTCCCCCAGGTAGCCTCTAGCAGGGCTGTAGGGGCAAGTGCTGTTACACACAGACAAAGCTCCCCCAGGTAGCCTCTAGCAGGGCTGTATGGGCAAGTGCTGTTACACACACAGACAAAGCTCCCCCAAGCAGCCTCTAGCAGGGCTGTAGGGGCAAGTGCTGTCACACACACAGACAAAGCTCCCCCAGGTAGCCTCTAGCAGGGATGTAGGGGCAAGTGCTGTTACACACACACAGACAAAGCTCCCCCAGGTAGCCTCTAGCAGAGCTGTAGGGGCAAGTGCTGTTACACACACGGACAAAGCTCCTCCAGGTAGCCTCAAGCAGGCTGTAGGGGCAAGTGCTGTTACACACACACAGACAAAGCTCCCCCAGGTAGCCTCTAGCAGGCTGTAGGGGCAAGTGCTGTTACACACAGACAAAGCTCCCCCAGGTAGCCTCTAGCAGGCTATAGAGGCAAGTGCTGTTACACACACAGACAAAGCTCCCCCAGGTAGCCTCTAGCAGGGCTGTAGGGACAAGTGCTGTTACACACACACAGACAAAGCGCCCCCAGGTAGCCTCAAGCAGGCTGTAAGGGCAAGTGCTGTTACACACAGACAAAGCTCCCCCAGGTAGCCCCTAGCAGGGCTGTAGGGGCAAGTGCTGTTACACACACACAAACAAAGCTCCCCCAGGTAGCCTCTAGCAGGCTGTAGGGGCAAGTGCTGTTACACACACAGACAAAGCTCCCCCAGGTAGCCTCTAGCAGGCTGTAGGGGCAAGTGCTGTTACACACACAGACAAAGCTCCCCCAGGTAGCCTCTAGCAGGCTGTAGGGGCAAGTGCTGTTACACACACAGACAAAGCTCCCCCAGGTAGCCTCTAGCTGGGCCATATGGGCAAGTGCTGTTACACACACAGACAAAGCTCCCCCAAGTAGCCTCTAGCAGGGCTGTAGGGGCAAGTGCCGTCACACACACAGACAAAGCTCCCCCAGGTAGCCTCTAGCAGGGATGTAGGGGCAAGTGCTGTTACACACACACAGACAAAGCTCCCCCAGGTAGCCTCTAGCAGGGCTGTAGGGGCAAGTGCTGTTACACACACAGACAAAGCTCCTCCAGGTAGCCTCTAGCAGACTGTATGGGCAAGTGCTGTTACACACACAGACAAAGCTCCCCCAGGTAGCCTCTAGCAGGCTGTAGGGGCAAGTGCTGTTACACACACACAGACAAAGCTCCTCCAGGTAGCCTCTAGCAGGCTGTAGGGGCAAGTGCTGTTACACACACAGACAAAGTTCCCCCAGGTAGCCTCTAGCACGCTGTAGGGGCAAGTGCTGTTACACACACAGACAAAGCTCCCCCAGGTAGCCTCTAGCAGGCTGTAGGGGCAAGTGCTGTTACACACACAAAGCTCCCCCAGGTAGCCTCTAGCAGGCTGTAGGGGCAAGTGCTGCTACACACAGACAAAGCTCCCGCAGGTAGCCTCACATGAGTGAGGCTGTCGCTAGGTAACAAGGCGATTGTTTTCGTATCGCGATATATCGCGCTTAGTATCGCGATATATCGCGATATATCGCACCCGGTATCGCGATATATCGCGCTCGGTATCGCGATATATCGCACCCGGTATCGCGATATATCGCGCTCGGTATCGCGATATATCGCACCCGGTATCACGATATATCGCACCCGGTATCGCGAAATGTCGCATTCGGTATCGCGATATATCGCACCCGGTATCGCGATATATCGCACCCGGTATCGCGAAATGTCGCATTCGGTATCGCGATATACAGCGCTCTGTATCACGATATACCGCACTCGGTATCGCGATATATCGCGCTCGGTATCGCGATATACAGCGCTCTGTATCACGATATATCGCACTCGGTATCGCGATATATCGCACTCGGTATCGCGATATATCGCGCTCGGTATCGCGATATATAGCGCTCTGTATCACGATATATCGCACTCGGTATCGCGATATATCGCGCTCGGTATCGCGATATATCGCGCTCGGTATCGCGATATATCGCGCTCGGTATCGCGATATATCGCGCTCGGTATCGCGATATATCGCGCTCGGTATCGCGATATATCGCGCTCGGTATCGCGATATATCGCGCTCGGTATCGCGATATATCGCGCTCGGTATCGCGATATATCGCGCTCGGTATCGCGATATATCGCGCTCGTGACCGCGGTACGGTTGGGGGCGGGGCTCGGAGCGACGTGTGAGGGGGCGTGGTTTGAAGTAATTAAGGGTGGGGCGAGGCTTAAGGTTCAAGTGGGCGGGGCGAACGTCCCGTTGTTTCGCAATGGCTGGGCGTGGCGAAGCCCTCATTTGCATATAAGCGGGGGGGGCGGAGTTTTGATTCACCGCAGCCAAGTCCCCGCCTCCTCCACCCCCTAGCCACGCCCCCCCCCCCCCGCCGCGCGCGTCGCAATTGGCGGGAAAAGGTCGGCGAAGGGTGGTGAGGTACAGCGCCTCGCGCGGACGTTGAGGCGACGTTCGCGGGCGACCGAGGTCTCCTTCTCTCCCCTCCCCTTCCCTCCCACTCCCCTCGCGTCTTCTGAGGCGATAAACCTCCCGGTGCCGCGCCATGATGCTTCGCCTCGCGGCACGCGGCCTGCTCTCGCCTCGGGCCCCCCGCGCTCGCCTGAGCGGCTCTGCCGGGCAAGGCGGCGGCGGAGGAGGAGGAGGAGGGCGGCGGCGGCTGCTGCTGAGGTGGATCGGCGTCGGAGCCGTGACCGCCTCGGTGGCCGTGGCGGCGGCGGCCGCTCGTTGGGCTCCTCCGGCCGAGATGGCGACTGCGAAGACGACGACGAAGACGACGAAGACGAAGGAGGAGTGGAGGGAGTTCATGGCGCCTCCCGTGAGCGGAGTGGAGGCGCTTCGGGCGACTCCCGACGCCATGAGGAGTCGGATGGAGGTGTTCATCATGGAGCTGCAGGCCGAGGTGAGTGGGTGGGTGGGTGAGTGAGGGGGTGAGTGAGTGGGTGAGTGAGTGAGGGGGTGAGTGAGGGGGTGAGTGAGTGGGTGAGTGGGTGAGTGACTGAGTGGGTGGGTGAGTGAGTGGGTGGGTGAGTGAGTGGGTGAGTGACTGAGTGAGTGGGTGAGTGACTGAGTAGGTGTGTGACTGAGTAGGTGGGTGACTGAGTGGGTGGGTGAGTGAGTGGGAGAGTGACTGAGTGGGTGAGTGACTGAGTGAGTGAGTGACTGAGTAGGTGTGTGACTGAGTGGGTGGGTGAGTGAGTGGGTGAGTGACTGAGTGAGTGGGTGAGTGACTGAGTAGGTGTGTGACTGAGTAGGTGGGTGACTGAGTGGGTGGGTGAGTGAGTGGGAGAGTGACTGAGTGGGTGAGTGACTGAGTGAGTGAGTGGGTGAATGGGTGAGTGGGTGGGTGGGTGACTGAGTGGGTGGGTGAGTGAGTGGGAGAGTGACTGAGTGGGTGAGTGGGTGAGTGAGTGAGTGGGTGAGTGAGTGAGTGGGTGACTGGGTGAGTGAATGGGTGAGTGAGAGACTGAGTGAGTGGGTAGGTGGGTGAGTGAGTGGGTGAGTTAGTGATTGGGTGAGTGAGTGGGTGGGTGAGTGGGTGGGTGAGTGGGTGAGTTGGTGGGTGGGTGGGTGAGTGAGTGAGTGGGTGGGTGAGTGACTGGGTGGGTGAGTGGGTGAGTGGGTGAGCGAATGGGTGAGTGACTGGGTGAGTGATTGAGTGGGTGACTGAGTGGGTGGGTGAGGAGTCGGATGGAGTTGTTCATCATGGAGCTGCAGGCCGAGGTGAGTGAGTGGGTGGGTGAGCGAGTGGGTGAGTGAGGGGGTGAGTGGGTGAGTGAGTGGGTGGGTGACTGAGTGGGTGAGTGAGTGGGTGAGTGACTGAGTGGGTGAGTGAGGGGGTGAGTGAGGGAGTGAGTGGGTGAGTGAGTGGGTGAGTGACTGAGTGGGTGGGTGACTGAGTGGGTGGGTGAGTGAGTGGGTGAGTGACTGAGTGAGTGGGTGAGTGAGTGGGTGAGTGACTGAGTGAGTGGGTGAGTGAGTGGGTGGGTGACTGAGTAGGTGGGTGACTGAGTAGGTGGGTGACTGAGTGGGTGGGTGAGTGAGTGGGAGAGTGACTGAGTGGGTGAGTGACTGAGTGGGTGAGTGGGTGAGTGAGTGAGTGGGTGAATGGGTGAGTGGGTGGGTGGGTGACTGAGTGGGTGGGTGAGTGAGTGAGTGGGTGAGTGACTGAGTGGGTGAGTGACTGAGTGGGTGAGTGGGTGAGTGAGTGAGTGGGTGAGTGAGTGAGTGGGTGACTGGGTGAGTGAATGGGTGAGTGAGAGACTGAGTGAGTGGGTAGGTGGGTGAGTTAGTGATTGGGTGGGTGAGTGACTGAGTGAGTGGGTGGGTGAGTGAGTGGGTGAGTTAGTGATTGGGTGAGTGAGTGGGTGGGTGAGTGAGTGAGTGAGTGGGTGAGTGGGTGGGTGAGTGGGTGGGTGAGTGGGTGGGTGAGTGGGTGGGTGAGTGGGTGAGTGAGTGGCTGGGTGGGTGGGTGGGTGAGTGAGTGGGTGGGTGAGTGAGGCAATGGCTCGCTGTTGTAACCCTGTGAAGATGTCATCACTTTTCAACAGAAGATAACAGACTTGCGGTCTTATCTACACACTCCTCACGCCTCACCCCCAGCCTCACCCCCAGCCTCACCCTCAGCCTCACCCTCTGCCTCACCCCCAGCCTCACCCTCTGCCTCACCCCCAGCCTCACCCTCAGCCTCACCCCCAGCCTCACCCTCAGCCTCACCCTCTGCCTCACCCTCTGCCTCACTCTCTGCCTCACCCCCCGTGACCCCCGCGTGACCCCCCCGTGACCCCCGCGTGACCCCCCCGTGACCCCCCCCCCCGTGACCCCCCCCCAGGTTTGCCGTGCGCTGGAGGAGGTGGAGGGGGAGGGGGGGAAGAAATTCCGGGTGGAGCAGTGGAGTCGTCCTGGTGGTGAGCGGCACCACCAGGACGACTCCACCACTCACCACCACTCACCACTACTCACCACTACTCACCACTAACACTCACCACTACACTCACCATCACTCACCACTACACTCACCAACACTCACCACCAGGACGACTCCACCACTCACCACTACTCACCACTAACACTCACCACTCACACTCACCACTCACACTCACCACTAACACTCACCAACACTAACACTCACCATCACTCACCACTAACACTCACCATCACTCACCACTAACACTCACCACTCACACTCACCACTCACCACTACACTCACCACTAACACTCACCATCACTCACCACTCACACTCACCACTCACCACTACACTCACCACTACTCACCACTCACACTCACCACTCACCACTACACTCACCACTAACACTCACCACTACACTCACCACTACTCACCACTACTAACACTCACCATCACTACTCACCACCAGGACGACTCCACTCACCACTACTCACCACTCACACTCACCACTCACCACTACACTCACCACTAACACTCACCACTACACTCACCACTACTCACCACTACTAACACTCACCATCACTACTCACCACCAGGACGACTCCACTCACCACTACTCACCACTCACACTCACCACTCACCACTACACTCACCACTAACACTCACCACTACACTCACCACTACTCACCACTCACACTCACCACTCACCACTACACTCACCACTAACACTCACCACTACACTCACCACTACTCACCACTACTAACACTCACCATCACTACTCACCACCAGGACGACTCCACTCACCACTACTCACCACTCACACTCACCACTCACCACTACACTCACCACTAACACTCACCACTACACTCACCACTACTCACCACTACTAACACTCACCATCACTACTCACCACCAGGACGACTCCACTCACCACTACTCACCACTCACACTCACCACTCACCACTACACTCACCACTAACACTCACCACTACACTCACCACTACTCACCACTACTAACACTCACCATCACTACTCACCACCAGGACGACTCCACTCACCACTACTCACCACTCACACTCACCACTCACCACTACACTCACCACTAACACTCACCACTACACTCACCACTACTCACCACTACTAACACTCACCATCACTACTCACCACCAGGACGACTCCACTCACCACTACTCACCACTCACACTCACCACTCACCACTACACTCACCACTAACACTCACCACTACACTCACCACTACTCACCACTCACACTCACCACTCACCACTACACTCACCACTAACACTCACCACTACACTCACCACTACTCACCACTACTAACACTCACCATCACTACTCACCACCAGGACGACTCCACTCACCACTACTCACCACTCACACTCACCACTCACCACTACACTCACCACTAACACTCACCACTACACTCACCACTACTCACCACTACTAACACTCACCATCACTACTCACCACCAGGACGACTCCACTCACCACTACTCACCACTCACACTCACCACTCACCACTACACTCACCACTAACACTCACCACTACACTCACCACTACTCACCACTACTAACACTCACCATCACTACTCACCACCAGGACGACTCCACTCACCACTACTCACCACTCACACTCACCACTCACCACTACACTCACCACTACTCACCACTACACTCACCACTAACACTCACCACCAGGACGACTCCACTCACCACTACTAACACTCACCACTACACTCACCACTACTAACACTCACCACTACTCACCACTCACCACTACACTCACCACTAACACTCACCACTCACTCACCACTACACTCACCAACACTAACACTCACCACTACACTCACCACTACACTCACCACTACACTCACCATCACCACCACTCACCACTACTCACCACTCACACTCACCACTCACCACTACACTCACCACTAACACTCACCATCACTCACCACTACACTCACCACTACTCACCACTACACTCACCACTCACCACTACACTCACCATCACTACTCACCACTCACCATCACTACTCACCACTCACCATCACTACTCACCACTAACACTCACCACTACACTCACCACTCACCACTACACTCACCACTCACTCACCACTCACCATCACTACTCACCACTAACACTCACCACTACACTCACCACTACACTCACCAACACTCACCATCACTACTCACCACCAGGACGACTCCACTCACCACTACACTCACCACTACACTCACCAACACTCACCATCACTACTCACCACCAGGACGACTCCACTCACCACTACTCACCACTCACACTCACCACTCACCACTACACTCACCATCACTACTCACCACCAGGACGACTCCACTCACCACTACTCACCACTCACCATCACTACTCACCACTACACTCACCACTACTAACACTCACCACTAACACTCACCACTACACTCACCACTACTCACCACTACTCACCACTACTAACACTCACCACCAGGACGACTCCACTCACCACTACTAACACTCACCATCACTCACCAACACTCACCACTACTCACCACTACACTCACCACTAACACTCACCACTACTCACCACTCACCATCACTACTCACCACTACACTCACCACTACTAACACTCACCACTACTAACACTCACCACTAACACTCACCACTCACCAACACTCACCACTACTCACCAACACTCACCACTACCCACCACTACTACTCACCACCAGGACGACTCCACCACTCACTAACACTCACCACCAGGACGACTCCACTACACTCACCACTACACTCACCACCAGGACGACTCCACTCACCACTACACTCACCACTAACACTCACCACTCACTCACCATCACTACTCACCACCAGGACGACTCCACTACACTCACCACTACTCACCACTAACACTCACCATCACTCACCAACACTCACCATCACTACTCACCACTACACTCACCACTACACTCACCACTACACTCACCACCAGGACGACTCCACTCACCACTACTACACTCACCACTAACACTCACCACTCACTCACCAACACTCACCACTACTAGTCACCATCACTACTCACCACTCACCATCACTACTCACCACTACACTCACCACTACACTCACCACTACACTCACCACTCACCACTACACTCACCACTACACTCACCACTACACTCACCACTAACACTCACCACTCACCAATACTCACCACCAATACTCACCACTACTACTCACTCACCACTACACTCACCACTACACTCACCATCACTCACCACCAGGACGACTCCACTACACTCACCACTACACTCACCACCAGGACGACTCCACTACACTCACCATCACTCACCACTACACTCACCACCAGTACGACTCCACTACACTCACCATCACTCACCACTCACCACTACACTCACCACCAGGACGACTCCACTACACTCACCATCACTCACCACTCACCACTACACTCACCACCAGGACGACTCCATTACACTCACCACTAACACTCACCACCAACATCACTCACCACTACACTCACCATCACTCACCACCAACACTCACCAACACTCACCAACACTCACCAACAACACTTACCACCAGGACGACTCCACTACACTCACCACTACACTCACCACTCACTCACCACTCACTCACCACCAGGACGACTCCACTACACTCACCACTACACTCACCACCAGGACGACTCCACTACACTCACCACTACTCACCACTCACCACTACACTCACCACTAACACTAACACTCACTCACCAACACTCAGCACCAGGACGACTCCACTACACTCACCACCACTACTACTCACCATCACTCACCAACACTCACCACCAGGACGACTCCACTACACTCACCACTACACTCACCACCAGGACGACTCCACTACACTCACCACTACTCACCACTCACCACTACACTCACCACTAACACTAACACTCACTCACCAACACTCAGCACCAGGACGACTCCACTACACTCACCACCACTACTACTCACCATCACTCACCAACACTCACCACCAGGACGACTCCACTACACTCACCACTACACTCACCACCAACACTCACCACTACACTCACCACTACACTCACCACTACACTCACCATCACTCACTACTACTCACCATCACTCACCAACACTCACCACCAGGACGACTCCACTACACTCACCACTACACTCACCACCAACACTCACCACTACACTCACCACTACACTCACCACTACACTCACCATCACTCACTACTACTCACCAACACTCACCACCAACACTCACCACCAGGACGACTCCACTAACACTCACCACTCACTCACCAACACTCACCACCAACATTCACCACCAGGACGACTCCACTAACACTCACCACTCACTCACCAACACTCACCACCAGGACGACTCCACTAACACTCACCACCAACACTCACCACCAGGACGACTCCACTACACTCACCACTCACCATCACTACTCACCACTACTACTACTACTCACCAACACTCACCACTAATCACCACTAACACTCACCACTACACTCACCACCATCACTCAACATCACTCACCATCACTCACCACCAACACTCACCACTCACTCACCACCAACACTCACCACTCACTCACCACCAACACTCACCACTCACTCACCAACACTCACCACTACTACTCACCACTACACTCACCATCACTCACCACTACACTCACCAACACTCACCACTAACACTCACCACTCACCAATACTCACCACCAATACTCACCACTACACTCACCACCAACACTCACCACCAACACTCACCAACACTCACCACTACTCACCACTACTCACCACTACACTCACCACTACACTCACCATCACTCACCACCAACACTCACCACTACACTCACCACTACACTCACCACTACTCACCACTCACTCACCACTACTACTCACCAACACTCACCAATACTCACCACCAATACTCACCAACACTCACCACCAACACTCACCAACACTCACCACCAACACTCACCACTACACTCACCATCACCATCACTCACCACCACCAACACTCACCACCAACACTCACCATCACTCACCACTACACTCACCACCAACACTCACCACTACACTCACCACTACACTCACCACCAACACTACCACTCACCACTACTACTACTCACCACTCACTCACCACCAACACTCACCACTCACTCACCACTACACTCACCACCAACACTCACCACCACTACTCACCACTACACTCACCACTACACTCACCACTACACTCACCATCACTCACCACTAACACTCACCATCAACACTCACCACTACACTCACCACTACTCACCACTCACTCACCACTACTACTCACCAACACTCACCACTCACCAATACTCATCACCAATACTCACCAACACTCACCACCAACACTCACCACTACACTCACCATCACTCACCATCACTCACCACCACCAACACTCACCACCAACACTCACCATCACTCACCACTACACTCACCACCATCACTCACCACTACACTCACCACTACTACTCACCACTACTACTCACCACCACTACACTCACCACCACTACTCACCACTACTACTCACCACTACTACTCACCACTACACTCACCACCAACACTACCACTCACCACTACTATACTACTCACCACTCACTCACCACCAACACTCACCATCACTCACCACTACTCAGTCACCAACACTCACCACCAACACTCACCACCAACACTCACCACTACCACTCACCACTACTACTCACCACCATCACTCACCACCATCACTCACCACTACTCACCACTCTCCACCATCACTCACCACCAACACTCACCACCAACACTCACCACTCACACTCACCACTACTACTCACCACCAACACCACCAACACTCACCACTACACTCACCACTAACACTCACCACTCATCACCATCACTCACCAACAACACTCACCACCATCACTCACCATCACTCACCAACAACACTCACCATCACTACTCACCATCACTCACCACCAACACTCACCAACACTCACCACCAACACTCACCACTACACTCACCACTACTACTCAACAACACTCACCATCAACACTCACCATCACTCACCACTAACACTCACCATTAACACTCACCACCAACACTCACCATCACTACTCACCATCACTCACCACTACTACTCACCACTACACTCACCATCACTCACCACCATCACTCACCACTACTCACCACTCACTCACCACTACTCACCATCACTGACCACTAACACTCACCAACACTCACCACCACTCACCACCACTCACCATCACTCACTCACCATCACTCACCATCACTCACCACTCACCATCACTACTCACCACTACTCACCACTCACTCACCATCACTCACCACTACTCACCATCACTACTCACCACTCACCACTACTCACCACTACTCACCATCACTCACCATCACTCACCACTCACTCACCACTACTCACCACTCACTCACCACTACTCACCATCACTGACCACTAACACTCACCAACACTCACCACCACTCACCACCACTCACCATCACTCACTCACCACCACTCACCATCACTCACCACTACTCACCACTCACTCACCACCATCACTCACCATCACTCACCATCACTCACCAACACTCACCACTACTCACCATCACTCACTCACCATCACTACTACTCACCACTCACTCACCATCACTCACTCACCACTCACCATCACTCAACATCACTCACCAACACTCACCAACACTCACCATCACTCACCATCACTCACCACCATCACTCACCACCACTCACCACCATCACTCACCACCACTACTCACCACCACCACTCACCATCACTCTCACCACCACCACCACGCTCACCCTCACCACCACCCTCACCACCACCACGCTCACCACCACCACCCTCACCACCACCACGCTCACCCTCACCACCACGCTCACCACCACCACCCTCACCACCACCACCACCCTCACCACCACCACGCTCACCCTCATCACCACCACCCTCACCACCACCACGCTCACCACCACCACCACCCTCACCACCACGCTCACCCTCACCACCACCACGCTCACCCTCACCACCACCACGCTCACCCTCACCACCACCACCCTCACCACCACCACACTCACCCTCACCACCACGCTCACCACCACCCTCACCACCACCCTCACCACCACGCTCACCCTCACCACCACGCTCACCCTCACCACCACGCTCACCACCACCACCCTCACCACCACCACGCTCACCCTCACCACCACCACGCTCACCACCACCACCCTCACCACCACCACCCTCACCACCACCACGCTCACCACCACCACCCTCACCACCACCACGCTCACCCTCACCACCACCACGCTCACCACCACCACCCTCACCACCACCACCCTCGCCACCACCACGCTCACCACCACCACCACCACGCTCACCACCACCCTCACCACCACCACGCTCACCTTCACCACCACCACCACGCTCACCACCACCACCCTCACCACCACCCTCACCACCACGCTCACCACCACCACCACCCTCACCACGTCTTGCAGGAGGGGGTGAGCGTGTCCGTCGTTTCGTGGCCACCCCCCCCCCCCCCCCCCCCCCCCCCCCCGCAAGAGAGGGTGAATGTGTTCGTCGTTCCGTGCCGCCCCCCTCCCGCAGGAGGCGGAGGGGTGACGTGCGTGCTGCAGGAGGGCCGTGTGTTTGAGAAGGCCGGGGTGAACGTGTCCGTCGTTCGGGGCCACCTACCTCCCGAGGCCGCGGCACAGATGCGGAGCAGAGGTCGCGACATCACCCCAGACGCCAACGGTAACCCCCATCGTCACCGTCACCACCATCACTACCATCGTCACCATCACTACCATCGTCACCGTCACGAACATCACTACCATCGTCACCATCACTACCACCATCGTCACCGTCACCACCATCACTACCATCGTCACCGTCACTACCATCATCACTACCATCACTACCATCGTCATCACCATCACTACCACCATCACTACCACCATCGTCACTACCATCATCACTACCATCGTCACTGTCACCATCACTACCACCGTCACGAACATCACTACCACCATCACTACCATCGTCACTACCACCATCACTACCACCATCACCATCACTACCATCGTCACTACCACCATCACTACCACCATCACGTCATCACTACCATCGTCATCGTCACCATCACTACCACCATCACTACCATCACTACCACCATCACTACCATCACTACCACCATCACTACCATCACTACCATCACCACCATCACTACCACCATCGTCACTACCACCATCGTCACTACCACCATCACTACCATCACTACCATCGTCACTACCATCGTCACCATCACTACCATCACTACCACCATCACTACCACCATCACCATCACTACCACCATCACTACCACCATCACTACCATCACTACCATCGTCACTACCATCGTCACCATCACTACCACCATCACTACCACCATCACTACCACCGTCACCGTCACGAACATCACTACCACCATCACTACCATCGTCACTATCACCATCACTACCACCATCACTACCATCGTCACCATCACTACCACCGTCACTACCATCACCATCACTACCACCGTCACCATCACGAACATCACTACCATCTTCAACATCAATACCATCGTCACTACCATCACCATCACTACCACCATCACCATCACTACCATCGTCACCATCACTACCACCATCACTACCACCGTCACCATCACTAACATCGTCATCATCACCATCACTACCACCATCACTACCATCGTCACCATCACCATCACTACCACCATCACGTCATCACTACCATCGTCATCGTCACCATCACTACCACCATCACTACCATCACTACCACCATCACTACCACCATCACTACCACCATCACTACCATCACTACCATCACTACCACCATCACTACCACCATCACTACCATCACCACCATCACTACCACAATCGTCACTACCACCATCGTCACTACCACCATCACTACCATCACTACCATCGTCACTACCATCGTCACCATCACTACCATCACTACCACCATCACTACCATCGTCACCATCACTACCACAATCACTACCATCACTACCACCATCACCATCACTACCACCATCACTACCACCATCACTACCACCATCACCATCACTACCATCGTCACTATCACCATCACTACCACCATCACCGCCATCATCACTACCACCATCACTACCACCATCACTACCATCACTACCACCATCACCATCACTACCACCATCACTACCACCATCACTACCATCATCACCATCACTACCATCGTCACTACCACCATCACTACCACCATCACTACCATCACCACCATCACTACCACCATCGTCACTACCACCATCGTCACTACCACCATCACTACCATCACTACCATCGTCACTACCATCGTCACCATCACTACCATCACTACCACCATCACTACCATCGTCACCATCACTACCACCATCACTACCACCATCACTACCATCACTACCACCATCACCATCACTACCACCATCACTACCACCATCACTACCACCATCACCATCACTACCATCGTCACTACCACCATCACTACCACCATCACCGCCATCATCACTACCACCATCACTACCATCATCACCATCACTACCATCGTCACTACCACCATCACTACCACCATCACTACCATCACCACCATCACTACCATCATCACTACCACCATCACTACCATCGTCGCCGTCACTACCATCACTACCATCGTCAACATCACGAACATCACTACCATCATCACTACCATCACTACCACCATCACTACCATCACTACCATCATCACCATCACTACCACCATCACTACCACCATCACTACCATCACCACCATCACTACCATCATCATCATCACTACCACCATCACCATCACGTCATCACTACCATCACTACCATCATCATCACTACCATCGTCACCATCACGTCATCACTACCATCACCATCATCATCACTACCATCGTCACCATCACGTCATCACTACCATCACTATCACCATCACCATCGTCACCATCACGAACATCGTCACCATCACTACCATCACTACCATCGTCACCATCACTACCATCACCATCATCACCATCATCACCATCACTACCATCATCATCACTACCATCACTACCACCCCCATCGTCAGCATCACTATCACCATCACCATCATCACCATCACTACCATCATCATCACTACCATCACTACCACCCCCATCGTCACCATCACGTCATCACTACCATCACTACCATCGTCACCATCACGAACATCGTCACCATCACCATCACCACCATCGTAACCATCACGAACATCGTCACCATCACTACCATCACTACCATCGTCATCACTACCATCGTCATCACTACCATCGTCATCACTACTACCATCACTACTACCATCACTATCACCATCACGACCGTCGTCACCATCACTACCATCACTACCACCCCCATTGTCACCATCACGTCATCACTACCATCACTATCACCATCACCACCATCGTCACCATCACTACCATCGTCACCATCACGTCATCACTACCATCACTACCATCGTCACCATCACGAACATCGTCACCATCACTACCATCGTCACCATCACGTCATCACTACCATCACGAACATCGTCACCATCACTATCACCATCACTACCATCACTACCATCACCATCACGACCATCACCATCATCACTATCACCATCACTACCATCACTACCACCATCACTACCATCACTACCATCACCACTATCACTACCATCACCACCATCACTACCATCACTACCATCACCACCATCACTACCATCACTACCACCACTACCATCACTACCACCATCACTACCATCACTACCACCATCACTACCACCATCACTACCATCACCACCATCACGACCATCACTACCATCACCACCATCACTACCATCACTACCATCACTTTCATCACCACCATCACTACCATCACCACCATCACTACCATCATCACAACCACCATCACCATCACTACCATCACCACCACCACTACCATCACCATCATCACACCGGGCGCCAACAGTACCCCCATCACCGCCATCACCGCCATCACCATCATCATCAGCAACGCCATCACCAGCATTAGTGGCCATTGTGGTGGTTTATTTTGATTGTGGTTATTGTGATATTGGTTGTGGTTGTTGTGATATTGATTGTGGTTATTGTGCTGTTAATGGTTGTTGTGATTTGGTTGTGGATGTTGTTGTTATATTGGTTGTGGATGTTGTTGTTATATTGGTTGTGGATGTTGTTGTGATATTGGTTGTGGATGTTGTGATATTGGTTGTGGTTGTTGTGATATTGGTTGTGGTTGTTGTTGTGATATTGGTTGTGGTTGTTGTGATTTGGTTATGGTTGTTGTGATATTGGTTGTGGTTGTTGTGATATTGGTTGTGGATGTTGTTGTGATATTGGTTGTGGATGTTGTTGTGATATTGGTTGTGGATGTTGTTGTGATATTGGTTGTGGTTGTTGTGATATTGGTTGTGGTTGTTGTGATTGATTGTGGTTGTTGTTGTGATTGATTGTGGTTGTTGTGATATTGGTTGTGGTTGTTGTGCTGTTGATGGTTGTTGTGATTTGGTTGTGGTTGTTGTTGTGATATTGGTTGTGGTTGTTGTGATATTGGTTGTGGATGTGGTTGTGATATTGGTTGTGGATGTTGTGATATTGGTTGTGGTTGTTGTTGTGATATTGATTGTGGTTGTTGTGATATTGGTTGTGGCTGTTGTGATATTGGTTGTGGTTGTTGTGATATTGGTTGTGGATGTGGTTGTGATATTGGTTGTGGATGTTGTTGTGATATTGGTTGTGGTTGTTGTTGTGATATTGGTTGTGGTTGTTGTTGTGATATTGGTTGTGGATGTTGTGATATTGGTTGTGGATGTTGTTGTGATATTGGTTGTGGTTGTTGTTGTTGTGATATTGGTTGTGGTTGTGGTTGTGATATTGGTTGTGGCTGTTGTGATATTGGTTGTGGTTGTTGTTGTGATATTGGTTGTGGATGTGGTTGTGATATTGGTTGTGGATGTGGTTGTGATATTGGTTGTGGTTGTTGTGATATTGGTTGTGGATGTGGTTGTGATATTGGTTGTGGATGTTGTTGTGATATTGGTTGTGGATGTTGTTGTGATATTGGTTGTGGATGTTGTTGTGATTTAGTTGTGGATGTTGTGATATTGGTTGTGGTTGTTGTGATATTGGTTGTGGTTGTTGTTGTGATATTGGTTGTGGTTGTTGTGATATTGGTTGTGGTTGTTGTGATATTGGTTGTAGTTGTTGTGATATTGGTTGTAGTTGTTGTGATATTGGTTGTGGATGTTGTGGTATTGGTTGTGGTTGTGATATTGGTTGTGGTTGTGGTTGTGATATTGGTTGTGGTTGTTGTTGTGATATTGGTTGTTGTTGTGATATTGGTTGTGGATGTTGTTGTGATATTGGTTGTAGTTGTGATATTGGTTGTGGATGTTGTGATATTGGTTGTGGATGTTGTTGTGATATTGGTTGTGGATGTTGTGATGTTGGTTGTGGTTGTTGTGATATTGGTTGTGGATGTTGTTGTGATATTGGTTGTGGATGTTGTGATATTGGTTGTGGATGTGGTTGTGATATTGGTTGTGGATGTTGTGATATTGGTTGTGGATGTTGTTGTGATATTGGTTGTGGATGTTGTGATGTTGGTTGTGGTTGTTGTGATATTGGTTGTGGATGTTGTTGTGATATTGGTTGTGGATGTTGTGATATTGGTTGTGGATGTGGTTGTGATATTGGTTGTGGATGTTGTTGTGATATTGGTTGTGGATGTTGTGATATTCGTTGTGGTTGTGATATTGGTTGTGGTTGTTGTGATATTGGTTGTGGATGTTGTTGTGATATTGGTTGTGGATGTTGTTGTGATATTGGTTGTGGATGTTGTTGTGATATTGGTTGTGGATGTTGTTGTGATATTGGTTGTGGATGTGGTTGTGATATTGGTTGTGGATGTTGTGATATTGGTTGTGGATGTTGTTGTGATATTGGTTGTGGATGTTGTTGTGATATTGGTTGTGGTTGTTGTGATATTGGTTGTGGTTGTTGTTGTGATATTGGTTGTGGTTGTTGTGATATTGGTTGTGGTTGTTGTGATATTGGTTGTGATATTGGTTGTGGTTGTTGTGATATTGGTTGTGGATGTTGTGATATTGGATGTTGTTGTGATATTGGTTGTGGATGTTGTTGTGATATTGGTTGTGGTTGTTGTGATATTGGTTGTGGTTGTTGTGATATTGGTTGTGGTTGTTGTGATATTGGTTGTGAATGTTGTGATATTGGATGTTGTTGTGATATTGGTTGTGGATGTTGTTGTGATATTGGTTGTGGTTGTGATATTGGTTGTGGTTGTTGTGATATTGGTTGTGGTTGTTGTGATATTGGATGTTGTTGTGATATTGGTTGTGGTTTTTGTGATATTGGTTGTGGTTGTGGTTGTTGTTGTGATATTGGTTGTGGATGTTGTTGTGATGTTGGTTGTGGTTGTTGTGATTTAGTTGTGGTTGTTGTGATTTAGTTGTGGTTGTTGTGATATTGGTTGTGGATGTTGTGATATTGGTTGTGGATGTTGTTATATTAGTTGTTGTTGTGATTTTGGTTATTGTTCTTGTGGTTATTGTTGTGATATTGATTGTTGTTGTTGTGGTTGTTGTTGTGATATTGGTTATTGTTGTGGGTATTGTTGTTGTGGTTATTGTTGTGATATTGATTGTTGTTGTTGTGGTTGTTGTGATATTGGTTATTGTTGTTGTGGGTATTGTTGTTGTGATATTGGTTGTTGTTGTTGTGGTTGTTGTTGTTGTTGTTGTTGTGGTTATTGTTGTTGTGGTTGTTGTGGTTGTTGTTGTGGTTATTGTTGTTGTTGTGATATTGGTTGTTGTTATTATTGTTGTTGTGGTGTTGGTTGTTGTTGTGGTATTGGTTGTTGTTGTGGTTATTGTTGTTGTGATATTGGTTGTTGTTGTTATTATTGTTGTTGTGGTTATTGTTGTGGTTGTGGTTGTTGTTGTTGTTGCTCTGGCAGGCCAGTACCCGTTTGTGGCGATGGGCGTGAGCTCGGTGATCCACCCACACAGCCCCCACGTGCCCACACTGCACTTCAACTACCGCTACTTTGAGATTCAGCAGCAACAAGGTGGGTGGGTGGGTGAGTGGGTGGGTGGGTGGGTGAGTGGGTGGGTGGGTGGGTGAGTGGGTGGGTGGGTGGGTGGGTGGGTGGGTGAGTGGGTGGGTGGGTGGGTGGGTGAGTGAGTGAGTGGGTGGGTGGGTGGGTTGGTTGGTGAGTGAGTGGGTGGGTTGGTTGGTGAGTGAGTGGGTGGGTTGGTTGGTGAGTGAGTGGGTGGGTGGGTTGGTGAGTGAGTGGGTGGGTGGTTGGGTGAGTGGGTAAGTGGGTGAGTGGGTGAGTGGGTTGGTGAGTGGGTGAGTGGGTTGGTGAGTAGGTGGGTGGGTTGGTGAGTGGGTGGGTGGGTTGGTGAGTGAGTGGGTGGGTGGGTTGGTGAGTGAGTGAGTGGGTGGGTTGGTGAGTGAGTGGGTTGGTGAGTGAGTGGGTGGATGGGTGGGTGGGTGAGTGGATGGGTGAGTGGGTGGGTGGGTTGGTGAGTGGGTGGGTGAGTGGGTGGGTGGGTGGGTGGGTGAGTGAGTGGGTGGGTGGGTGAGTGAGTGGGTGGGTGGGTTGGTTGGTGAGTGGGTGGGTTGGTGAGTGGGTGGGTGAGTGGGTGGGTGAGTGGATGAGTGGGTGGGTGGGTGAGTGGGTGGGTGGGTTGGGGTGGGTTGGTGAGTGGGTGGGTGGGTTGGTGAGTGGGTGGGTGGTTGGGTGGGTGGGTGGGTTGGTTGGTGAGTGAGTGGGTTGGTGAGTGAGTGGGTGGGTGGTTGGGTGAGTGGGTGAGTGGGTTGGTGAGTAGGTGGGTGGGTTGGTGAGTGGGTGGGTGGGTTGGTGAGTGAGTGGGTGGGTGGGTTGGTGAGTGAGTGGGTGGGTTGGTGAGTGAGTGGGTTGGTGAGTGAGTGGGTGGATGGGTGGGTGGGTGAGTGGATGGGTGAGTGGGTGGGTGGGTTGGTGAGTGGGTGAGTGAGTGGGTGGGTGGGTGGGTGGGTGAGTGGGTGGGTGGGTGGGTGAGTGGGTGGGTGAGTGGGTGAGTGGGTGAGTGGGTGGGTGGGTGAGTGGGTGAGTGGGTGGGTGGGTGAGTGGGTGGGTGGGTGGGTTGGTGGGTGGGTGAGTGGGTGGGTGAGTGGGTGGGTTGATTGGTGAGTGAGTGAGTGGGTGGGTTGGTGAGTGGGTGGGTGGGTGGGTTGGTGAGTGGGTGGGTGAGTGGGTTGGTGAGTGGGTGGGTGGGTGAGTGGATGAGTGGGTGAGTGGGTGGGTGGGTTGGGGTGGGTTGGTGGGTGGGTTGGTGGGTGGGTTGGTGAGTGGGTGGGTGGGTGAGTGGGTGGGTGGGTGAGTGGGTGGGTGGGTGGGTTGGTTGGTGAGTGAGTGGGTGGGTTGGTTGGTGAGTGAGTGGGTGGGTGGTTGGGTGAGTGGGTAAGTGGGTGAGTGGGTTGGTGAGTAGGTGGGTGGGTTGGTGAGTGGGTGGGTGGGTTGGTGAGTGAGTGGGTGGGTGGGTGGGTGAGTGGGTGGGTGGGTGAGTGGATGGGTGAGTGGGTGGGTGGGTTGGTGAGTGGGTGAGTGAGTGGGTGGGTGGGTGAGTGGGTGGGTGGGTGAGTGGGTGGGTGGGTGAGTGGGTGGGTGGGTGGGTGAGTGGGTGGGTGGGTGGGTGAGTGGGTGGGTGGGTGAGTGGGTGGGTGGGTGAGTGGGTGGGTGAGTGGGTGGGTGGGTGAGTGGGTGGGTGGGTGGGTGAGTGGGTGGGTGGGTGAGTGGGTGGGTGGGTTGGTGGGTGGGTTGGTTGGTGAGTGAGTGGGTGAGTAGGTGGGTGGGTTGGTGAGTGAGTGGGTGGATGGGTGGGTGGGTGGGTTGGTGAGTGAGTGGGTGGGTTGGTGAGTGGGTGGGTGAGTGAGTGGGTGGGTGAGTGGGTGGGTGGGTTGGTGAGTGGGTGGGTGGGTTGGTGAGTGGGTGGGTGGGTTGGTGGGTGGGTGGGTGGGTTGGTGAGTGGGTGGGTTGGTGAGTGGGTGGGTGAGTGGGTTGGTGAGTGAGTGGGTGGGTGGGTTGGTGAGTGAGTGGAGAGGTGGGCGCTCAGAGAGAGTTGTGGTTGTATGGTTGTGGTTGTTGTGTGGTTGTGGTGATGGTTGTGGTGGTGGTTGTGTTGTGGTGATGGTTGTTGTATGGTTGTGGTTGTTGTATGGTTGTGTTGTGGTGATGGTTGTTGTATGGTTGTGGTTGTTGTATGGTTGTGTTGTGGTGATGGTTGTTGTATGGTTGTGGCTGTGGTGATGGTTGTGGTGATGGTTGTTGTATGGTTGTGGTGATGGTTGTGGTTGTTGTATGGTTGTGGTTGTTGTATGGTTGTGGTTGTAGGCGGCACGGTGTGGTGGTTTGGTGGAGGTACCGACATGACTCCGAGTTTCCTGGTGGAGGAGGACGTCATCCACTTCCACGGCACCCTACAGGCGGCACTCACAGCCTTCCCTGGCCTCTACCGCCACTACAAGAAGTGGTGACGCCTACAGACACTCACTACAGTCACTCACTACACCTACAGACACTCACTACACCTACAGACACTCACTACAGCCACTCACTACACCTACAGACACTCACTATACCTACAGACACTCACTACACCTACAGTCACTCACTACACCTACAGACACTCACTACAGCCACTCACTACACCTACAGACACTCACTATACCTACAGACACTCACTACACCTACAGTCACTCACTACAGACACTCACTACACCTACAGTCACTCACTACACCTACAGTCACTCACTACACCTACAGACACTCACTACACCTACAGACACTCACTACACCTACAGACACTCACTACACCTACAGACACTCACTACACCTACAGTCACTACACCTACAGACACTCACTACAGCCACTCACTACACCTACAGTCACTCACTACAGCCACTCACTACACCTACAGACACTCACTATACCTACAGACACTCACTACACCTACAGTCACTCACTACACCTACAGACACTCACTACACCTACAGACACTCACTACACCTACAGACACTCACTACAGACACTCACTACACCTACAGACACTCACTACAGACACTCACTACACCTACAGACACTCACTACACCTACAGTCACTCACTACAGTCACTCACTACACCTACAGACACTCACTACACCTACAGACACTCACTACAGACACTCACTACACCTACAGACACTCACTACAGACACTCACTACATCTACAGACACTCACTACACCTACAGTCACTCACTACAGACACTCACTACACCTACAGACACTCACTACACCTACAGTCACTCACTACAGACACTCACTACACCTACAGACACTCACTACACCTACAGTCACTCACTACAGCCACTCACTACACCTACAGTCACTCACTACACCTACAGACACTCACTACACCTACAGACACTCACTACACCTACAGACACTCACTACAGACACTCACTACATCTACAGACACTCACTACACCTACAGTCACTCACTACAGTCACTCACTACACCTACAGACACTCACTACACCTACAGACACTCACTACACCTACAGACACTCACTACAGTCACTCACTACACCTACAGACACTCACTACACCTACAGACACTCACTACACCTACAGACACTCACTACAGTCACTCACTACACCTACAGACACTCACTACACCTACAGACACTCACTACACCTACAGACACTCACTACAGTCACTCACTACACCTACAGACACTCACTACACCTACAGACACTCACTACAGACACTCACTACACCTACAGCCACTCACTGCACCTACAGACACTCACTACACCTACAGACACTCACTACAGACACTCACTACACCTACAGACACTCACTACACCTACAGCCACTCACTGCACCTACAGACACTCACTACACCTACAGACACTCACTACACCTACAGACACTCACTACAGACACTCACTACACCTACAGACACTCACTACACCTACAGTCACTCACTATACCTACAGACACTCACTACAGACACTCACTACACCTACAGACACTCACTACACCTACAGACACTCACTACACCTACAGCCACTCACTGCACCTACAGACACTCACTACACCTACAGACACTCACTACAGACACTCACTACACCTACAGACACTCACTACACTACAGACACTCACTACAGACACTCACTACACCTACAGTCACTCACTACAACCTACAAGCACTCACTACACTACAGACACTCACTACAACCTACAGACACTCACTACACCTACAGTCACTCACTACACTACACCACTCCACTGCACCTACAGCCACTCACTACACCTACAGACACTCACTACAGACACTCACTACACCTACAGACACTCAACTACACCTACAGCCACTCACTACAGACACTCACTACACCTACAGACACTCACTACACCTACAGACACTCACTACAGACACGACATACACCTACAGTCCACTCCCTACACCTACAGTACACTCACTACACCTTACAGATCACCTCCTACTACACCTACAGACACTCACTACAGACACTCACTACACCTACAGTCCACTCACTACACCTACAGTCACTCACTACACCTACAGACACTCACTACAGACACTCACTACACCTTACAGACACTTCACTACAGACACTCACTACACCTACAGTCACTCACTACACCTACAGACACTCACTACACCTACAGACACTCACTACCAGGACACTCACTACACCTACAGGCACTCACTAACACCTACAGTCACTCACCTACACACTACAGACACTCAACTACAGATACGACTACTCCTACTACACCTACAGACACTCACTGCACCTACAGACACTCACTACACCTACAGACACTCACTACAGACACTCACTACACCTACAGACTACACCTACAGACACTCACTACAGACACTCACTACACCTACAGTCACTCACTACACCTACAGACACTCACTACAGACACTCACTACACCTACAGACACTCACTACACCTACAGTCACTCACTACACCTACAGCCACTCACTGCACCTACAGCCACTCACTACACCTACAGACACTCACTACAGACACTCACTACACCTACAGACACTCACTACACCTACAGACACTCACTACACCTACAGACACTCACTACAGACACTCACTACACCTACAGACACTCACTACACCTACAGACACTCACTACAGACACTCACTACACCTACAGTCACTCACTACACCTACAGTCACTCACTACACCTACAGACACTCACTACAGACACTCACTACACCTACAGACACTCACTACACCTACAGACACTCACTACACCTACAGACACTCACTACACCTACAGACACTCACTACACCTACAGACACTCACTACACCTACAGACACTCACTACAGACACTCACTACACCTACAGTCACTCACTACATCTACAGTCACTCACTACACCTACAGACACTCACTACACCTACAGACACTCACTACACCTACAGACACTCACTACACCTACAGACACTCACTACAGACACTCACTACACCTACAGTCACTCACTACACCTACAGACACTCACTACACCTACAGACACTCACTACAGACACTCACTACACCTACAGACACTCACTACACCTACAGTCACTCACTACACCTACAGACACTCACTACAGACACTCTCTACACCTACAGACACTCACTACACCTACAGTCACTCACTACACCTACAGACACTCACTACACCTACAGACACTCACTACACCTACAGACACTCACTACACCTACAGACACTCACTACAGACACTCACTACACCTACAGTCACTCACTACACCTACAGACACTCACTACACCTACAGACACTCACTACAGACACTCACTACACCTACAGACACTCACTACAACCTACAGACACTCACTACACCTACAGACACTCACTACACCTACAGACACTCACTACAGACACTCACTACACCTACAGACACTCACTACACCTACAGTCACTCACTACACCTACAGACACTCACTACAGGTCACTCAACTACACCTACAGACACTCACTACACCTACAGACACTCACTACACCATACAGACACTCACTACCACCTACAGTCACTCACTACCAGCCGACTCACTACACCTACAGACACTCACTACACTACCGTCAACTCACTACACCTACAGACACTCACTACAGTCACTCACTACACCTACAGACACTCACTACACCTACAGACACTCACTACACCTACAGTCACTCACTACAGACACTCACTACACCTACAGACACTCACTACAGCCACTCACTACACCTACAGACACTCACTACACCTACAGACACTCACTACACCTACAGACACTCACTACACCAACAGCCACTCACTGCACCTACAGACACTCACTACACCTACAGTCACTCACTACACCTACAGACACTCACTACACCTACAGCCACTCACTGCACCTACAGACACTCACTACACCTACAGACACTCACTACAGACACTCACTACACCTACAGACACTCACTACACCTACAGACACTCACTACAGACACTCACTACACCTACAGTCACTCACTACACCTACAGACACTCACTACAGACACTCACTACACCTACAGACACTCACTACACCTACAGTCACTCACTACACCTACAGCCACTCACTGCACCTACAGCCACTCACTACACCTACAGACACTCACTACAGACACTCACTACACCTACAGACACTCACTACACCTACAGACACTCACTACAGACACTCACTACACCTACAGACACTCACTACACCTACAGACACTCACTACAGACACTCACTACACCTACAGTCACTCACTACACCTACAGTCACTCACTACACCTACAGACACTCACTACAGACACTCACTACACCTACAGACACTCACTACAGACACTCACTACACCTACAGTCACTCACTACACCTACAGTCACTCACTACACCTACAGACACTCACTACAGACACTCACTACACCTACAGACACTCACTACAGACACTCACTACACCTACAGTCACTCACTACACCTACAGACACTCACTACACCTACAGACACTCACTACAGACACTCACTACACCTACAGGCACTCACTACACCTACAGTCACTCACTACACCTACAGACACTCACTACAGACACTCACTACACCTACAGACACTCACTACACCTACAGTCACTCACTACACCTACAGACACTCACTACAGACACTCACTACACCTACAGACACTCACTACACCTACAGTCACTCACTACACCTACAGACACTCACTACAGACACTCACTACACCTACAGACACTCACTACACCTACAGTCACTCACTACACCTACAGACACTCACTACACCTACAGACACTCACTACAGACAGCTCACTCACCTACAGTCCACTCACTACACCTACAGACACTCACTACACCTACAGACACTCACTACACCTACAGTAAACTAACTACAGAAACTCACTACACCTACAGACACTCACTACACCTACAGTCACTCACTACACCTACAGACACTCACTACAGTCACTCACTACACCTACAGACACTCACTACACCTACAGACACTCACTACACCTACAGACACTCACTACACCTACAGTCACTCACTACAGCCACTCACTACACCTACAGACACTCACTACACCTACAGACACTCACTACACCTACAGACACTCACTACAGACACTCACTACACCTACAGTCACTCACTACACCTACAGACACTCACTACACCTACAGACACTCACTACAGACACTCACTACACCTACAGATCACTCACTACAACCTACAGACACCCTCACTACACCTACAGACACTCACTACACCTACAGTCACTCACTACAGCCACTCACTACACCTACAGACACTCACTACACCTACAGTCACTCACTACACCTACAGACACTCACTACAGTCACTCACTACACCTACAGACACTCACTACACCTACAGACACTCACTACACCTACAGACACTCACTACACCTACAGTCACTCACTACAGCCACTCACTACACCTACAGACACTCACTACACCTACAGTCACTCACTACACCTACAGACACTCACTACAGTCACTCACTACACCTACAGACACTCACTACACCTACAGACACTCACTACACCTACAGTCACTCACTACAGACACTCACTACACCTACAGTCACTCACTACAGCCACTCACTACACCTACAGACACTCACTACACCTACAGACACTCACTACACCTACAGACACTCACTACACCTACAGTCACTCACTACAGCCACTCACTACACCTACAGACACTCACTACACCTACAGACACTCACTACACCTACAGACACTCACTACACCTACAGACACTCACTACACCTACAGACACTCACTACACCTACAGTCACTCACTACAGACACTCACTACACCTACAGACACTCACTACACCTACAGACACTCACTACACCTACAGACACTCACTACACCTACAGACACTCACTACACCTACAGTCACTCACTACAGCCACTCACTACACCTACAGACACTCACTACACCTACAGACACTCACTACACCTACAGACACTCACTACACCTACAGACACTCACTACACCTACAGTCACTCACTACAGCCACTCACTACACCTACAGACACTCACTACACCTACAGACACTCACTACACCTACAGACACTCACTACACCTACAGACACTCACTACACCTACAGTCAGCTCACTACAGACACTCACTACACCTACAGACACTCACTACACCTACAGTCACTCACTACAGCCACTCACTACACCTACAGACACTCACTACACCTACAGACACTCACTACACCTACAGACACTCACTACACCTACAGACACTCACTACACCTACAGACACTCACTACACCTACAGTCACTCACTACAGACACTCACTACACCTACAGACACTCACTACACCTACAGTCACTCACTACAGCCACTCACTACACCTACAGACACTCACTACACCTACAGACACTCACTACACCTACAGACACTCACTACACCTACAGACACTCACTACACCTACAGTCACTCACTACAGACACTCACTACACCTACAGACACTCACTACACCTACAGACACTCACTACACCTACAGACACTCACTACACCTACAGTCACTCACTACAGACACTCTCTACACCTACAGACACTCACTACACCTACAGACACTCACTACACCTACAGACACTCACTACACCTACAGACACTCACTACAGACACTCACTACACCTACAGACACTCACTACACCTACAGACACTCACTACACCTACAGACACTCACTACACCTACAGACACTCACTACACCTACAGACACTCACTACAGACACTCACTACACCTACAGACACTCACTACACCTACAGACACTCACTACACCTACAGACACTCACTACACCTACAGTCACTCACTACAGACACTCACTACACCTACAGACACTCACTACACCTACAGACACTCACTACACCTACAGTCACTCACTACAGACACTCACTACACCTACAGACACTCACTACACCTACAGTCACTCACTACAGCCACTCACTACACCTACAGACACTCACTACACCTACAGACACTCACTACACCTACAGACACTCACTACACCTACAGACACTCACTACACCTACAGACACTCACTACACCTACAGACACTCACTACACCTACAGTCACTCACTACAGACACTCACTACACCTACAGACACTCACTACACCTACAGACACTCACTACACCTACAGTCACTCACTACACCTACAGACACTCACTACACCTACAGACACTCACTACACCTACAGACACTCACTACAGACACTCACTACAGACACTCACTACACCTACAGACACTCACTACACCTACAGTCACTCACTACAGACACTCACTACAGACACTCACTACACCTACAGACACTCACTACACCTACAGACACTCACTACACCTACAGTCACTCACTACACCTACAGACACACACTACACCTACAGACACTCACTACAGACACTCACTACACCTACAGTCACTCACTACACCTACAGACACTCACTACACCTACAGACACTCACTACACCTACAGTCACTCACTACACCTACAGACACTCACTACACCTACAGACACTCACTACACCTACAGTCACTCACTACACCTACAGACACTCACTACAGACACTCACTACACCTACAGACACTCACTACACCTACAGACACTCACTACACCTACAGACACTCACTACAGACACTCACTACACCTACAGACACTCACTACACCTACAGACACTCACTACACCTACAGACACTCACTACACCTACAGACACTCACTACACCTACAGACACTCACTACACCTACAGTCACTCACTACAGACACTCACTACACCTACAGACACTCACTACACCTACAGACACTCACTACACCTACAGTCACTCACTACAGACACTCACTACACCTACAGACACTCACTACACCTCACTCCCTCCGGACCACCCTCCTCACCACCACCTCCTCACCAGGTGTGACGACTACTTCTCCCCTCCTCACCACCTCCTCACCCCCTCCTCACCACCTCCTCACCACCTCCTCACCACCTCCTCACCCTCACCACCTCCTCCTCACCAGGTGTGACGACTACTTCTCCTTGCCTCACCATCCTCACCACCTCCTCACCACCTCTTCCTCACCCTCACCAGGTGTGACGACTACTTCTCCCTGCCTCACCCCCTCCTCACCACCTCCTCACCCCCTCCTCACCACCCTCACCACCTCCTCACCAGGTGTGACGACTACTTCTCCCTGCCTCACCTCCTCACCACCCTCACCCCCTCCCCCTCCTCACCCTCACCACCTCCTCCTCACCAGGTGTGACGACTACTTCTCCCTGCCTCACCTCCTCACCACCCTCACCCCCTCCCCCTCCTCACCCTCACCACCTCCTCCTCACCAGGTGTGACGACTACTTCTCCCTGCCTCACCTCCTCACCACCCTCACCCCCTCCCCCTCCTCACCCTCACCACCACCTCCTCACCAGGTGTGACGACTACTTCTCCCTGCCTCACCTCCTCACCACCCTCACCCCCTCCCCCTCCTCACCCTCACCACCTCCTCCTCACCACCTCCTCACCCTCACCAGGTGTGACGACTACTTCTCCCTGCCTCACCGTGGCGGCGAGCGCCGCGGCGTCGGCGGAATCTTCTTCGACGACCTCACCTCACCCTCGGCCGCTCACCACCCGCTCACCTCGGCAACGCCCTCGGCCGCTCACCACCCGCTCACCTCGCCCTCGGCAATGCCGTCGGCTCACCACCCGCTCACCTCGCCCTCGGCAATGCCGTCGGCTCAACCCGCGCTCAACTCGCCCTCCGGTGGCGAGGGTGGCGAGGGTGGTGGTGGTGATGGTGGTGGTGGTGAGGGTGGTGGTGGTGAGGGTGGTGGTGGTGGTGAGGGTGGTGAGGGTGAGGGTGGTGGTGAGGACCCCGAGGGAGCGTTTGCGGTGGTGCGAGCGTGTGGGCGAGCCGTGCTGCCCTCCTACCTGCCCGTGGTGGAGCGACGTCGCCACGGCAACCACGACGGGGCCCAGCGGCGCTGGCAACAGCTGCGGCGGGGACGGTGAGTACTATAGTACTATTATAGTACTGGTACTATAGTACTATAGTAGTAGTACTATAGTACTAGTACTATAGTACTATACTACGTCGCCACGGCAACCACGACGGGGCCCAGCGGCGCTGGCACCAGCTGAGGCGGGGACGGTGAGTACTATAGTACTATAGTACTGGTACTACAGTACTATAGTAGTAGTACTATAGTACTATACTACGTCGCCACGGCAACCACGACGGGGCCCAGCGGCGCTGGCAACAGCTGCGGCGGGGACGGTGAGCACTATAGTACTATAGTACTGGTACTATAGTACTATAGTAGTAGTACTATAGTACTATAGTACCGGTACTATAGTACTATAGTACTGGTACTATAGTACTAGTACTATAGTACTAGTACTGTAATAGTAGTAGTAGTAATAGTACTAGTACTATAGTACTAGTACTACTACTATAGTACTAGTATAGTAATAGTACTAGTAGTAATAGTAGTACTAGTACTATAGTACTAGTACTATAGTAGTATAGTACTATAGTAGTACTATAGTAGTATAGTGCTATAGTAGTACTACTATAGGAGTATAGTGCTACTATAGTAGTACTATACTACTATAGTAATACTATACTACTATAGTAGTAGTACTATAGTGCTACTATACTACTGCTATAGTAGTATACTATACACTACTAATATTACTATAGTAGTAGTAGTATACTATACACTACTAATATTACTATAGTAGTAGTAGTATACTATACACTACTAATATTACTATAGTAGTAGTAGTATACTATACACTACTAATATTACTATAGTAGTAGTATACTATACACTACTAATATTACTATAGTAGTAGTAGTATACTATACACTACTAATATTACTATAGTAGTAGTATACTATACACTACTAATATTACTATAGTAGTAGTATACTATACACTACTAATATTACTATAGTAGTAGTATACTATACACTACTAATATTACTATAGTAGTAGTATACACTACTAATATTACTATAGTAGTAGTATAATATATACTACTAATATTACTATAGTAGTAGTATAATATATACTACTAATATTACTATAGTAGTAGTATACTGTACACTACTAATATTACTATAGTAGTAGTATGCTATACACTACTAATATTACTATAGTAGTAGTAGTATACTATATACTACTAATATTACTATAGTAGTAGTATAATATATACTACTAATATTACTATAGTAGTAGTATACTGTACACTACTAATATTACTATAGTAGTAGTATGCTATACACTACTAATATTACTATAGTAGTAGTAGTATACTATACACTACTAATATTACTATAGTAGTAGTATACTATACACTACTAATATTACTACAGTAGTAGTATACTATACACTACTAATATTACTATAGTAGTAGTATACTATACACTACTAATATTACTATAGTAGTATTAGTAGTATAATATATACTACTAATATTACTATAATAGTATACTATACACTACTAATATTACTATAGTAGTAATAGTATACTATACACTACTAATATTACTATAGTAGTAGTATACTATATACTACTAATATTACTATAGTAGTAGTAGTATACTATACACTACTAATATTACTATAGTAGTAGTGTACTATACACTACTAATATCACTATAGTAGTATACTATACACTACTAATATTACTATAGTAGTAGTATACTATACACTACTAATATTACTATAGTAGTATATACTATACACTACTAATATTACTATAGTAGTAGTATACTATACACTACTAATATTACTATAGTAGTATACTATATACTACTAATATTACTATAGTAGTAGTATACTATACACTACTAATATTACTATAGTAGTAGTATACTATATACTACTAATATTACTATAGTAGTATACTATACACTACTAATATTACTATAGTAGTAGTATACTATACACTACTAATATTACTATAGTAGTAGTATACTATACACTACTAATATTACTATAGTAGTAGTATACTATACACTACTAATATTACTATAGTAGTAGTATACTATACACTACTAATATTACTATAGTAGTATATACTATACACTACTAATATTGCTATAGTAGTAGTGTACTATACACTACAAATATTACTATAGTAGTAGTATACTATATACTACTAATATTACTATAGTAGTAGTATACTATACACTACTAATATTACTATAGTAGTAGTATACTATATACTACTAATATTACTATAGTAGTAGTAGTATACTATACACTACTAATATTACTATAGTAGTAGTAGTATACTATACACTACTAATATTACTATAGTAGTAGTAGTATACTATACACTACTAATATTACTATAGTAGTAGTATACTATATACTACTAATATTACTATAGTAGTAGTAGTATACTATACACTACTAATATTACTATAGTAGTAGTATACTATGTACTACTAATATTACTATAGTAGTAGTGTACTATACACTACAAATATTACTATAGTAGTAGTATACTATACACTACTAATATTACTATAGTAGTAGTATACTATACACTACTAATATTACTATAGTAGTAGTGTACTATACACTACTAATATTACTATAGTAGTAGTAGTATACTATACACTACTAATATCACTATAGTAGTATATACTATACACTACTAATATTACTATAGTAGTATATACTATACACTACTAATATTGCTATAGTAGTAGTGTACTATACACTACAAATATTACTATAGTAGTAGTATACTATACACTACTAATATTACTATAGTAGTAATAGTATACTATATACTACTAATATTACTATAGTAGTAGTATACTATATACTACTAATATTACTATAGTAGTAGTATACTATACACTACTAATATTACTATAGTAGTAGTATACTATACACTACTAATATTACTATAGTAGTAGTAATATACTATATACTACTAATATTACTATAGTAGTAGTATACTATACACTACTAATATTACTATAGTAGTATATACTATACACTACTAATATTGCTATAGTAGTAGTGTACTATACACTACAAATATTACTATAGTAGTAGTATACTATACACTACTAATATTACTATAGTAGTAGTAGTATACTATACACTACTAATATCACTATAGTAGTATATACTATACACTACTAATATTACTATAGTAGTAGTATACTATACACTACTAATATTACTATAGTAGTAGTATACTATACACTACTAATATTACTATAGTAGTAGTATACTATACACTACTAATATTACTATAGTAGTAGTATACTATACACTACTAATATTACTATAGTAGTAGTATACTATACACTACTAATATTACTATAGTAGTAGTATACTATACACTACTAATATTACTATAGTAGTAGTATACTATACACTACTAATATTACTATAGTAGTAGTATACTATACACTACTAATATTACTATAGTAGTAGTATACTATACACTACTAATATTACTATAGTAGTAGTATACTATACACTACTAATATTACTATAGTAATAGTATACTATACACTACTAATATTACTATAGTAGTAGTATACTATACACTACTAATATTACTATAGTAGTAGTATACTATACACTACTAATATTACTATAGTAGTAGTATATACTATACACTACTAATATTACTATAGTAGTAGTATACTATACACTACTAATATAACTATAGTTGTAGTATACTATATACTACTAATATTACTGTAGTAGTAGTATACTATATACTACTAATATTACTATAGTAGTAATAGTATACACTACTAATATTACTATAGTAGTAGTATACTATACACTACTAATATTACTATAGTAGTAGTATACTATACACTACTAATATTACTATAGTAGTAGTATATACTATACACTGCTAATATTACTATAGTAGTAGTATACTATACACTACTAATATAACTATAGTTGTAGTATACTATATACTACTAATATTACTGTAGTAGTAGTATACTATATACTACTAATATTACTATAGTAGTAATAGTATACACTACTAATATTACTATAGTAGTAGTATACTATACACTACTAATATTACTATAGTAGTAGTATACTATACACTACTAATATTACTATAGTAGTAGTATATACTATACACTACTAATATTACTATAGTAGTAGTATACTATACACTACTAATATAACTATAGTTGTAGTATACTATATACTACTAATATTACTGTAGTAGTAGTATACTATATACTACTAATATTACTATAGTAGTAATAGTATACACTACTAATATTACTATAGTAGTGGTATAGTGGTTGTTGTTGCCGTGGTGGTGGTTCCCGTGGTTTCCATGGTTACCGTGGTTGTTGTTGTTGTTGCCGTGGTGACGCAGCTACGTGGAGTTCAATCTCCTCCACGACCGAGGGACCAAGTTTGGGCTGGCGACACCAGGTTCACGTACAGAGAGCATCCTGATGTCGCTACCCCTCACCGCCCGGTGAGTGGCCACTCACCCACACACCTAGTCACTCACCTAGTCACTCACCTAGTCACTCACCTACTCACTCACCTAGTTACCTACACACTCACCTACACACTCACCCACTCACTCACCTAGTCACTCACTCACCTACACACTCACCCACTCACTCACCTACTCACCCACACACCTAGTCACTCACCTACTCACCTAGTCACTCACCTAGTCACTCACCTAGTCACTCACCTAGTCACTCACCTAGTCACTCACCTAGTCACTCACCTAGTCACTCACCAAGTTTGGGCTGGCGACACCAGGTTCACGTACAGAGAACATCCTGATGTCTCTACCCCTCACCGCCCGGTGAGTGGCCACTCACTCACCTACTCACTCACCTACACACTCACCTACACACTCACCTAGTCACTCACCTAGTTACCTACACACTCACCTAGTCACTCACCTAGTCACCTACACACTCACCCACTCACTCGCTCACCTACTCACCTAGTCACTCGCCTACTCACCTACTCACTCACCCACCCACTCACTCACCCACTCACCCACCCACTCACCTAGTCACTCACCTAGTCACTCACCTAGTCACTCACCTAGTCACTCACTCACTCACCTACTCACTCACTCACTCACCTACTCACTCACCTAGTCACTCACCTAGTCACTCACCTAGTCACTCACCTAGTCACTCACTCACTCACCTACTCACTCACTCACTCACCTACTCACTCACCTAGTCACTCACCTAGTCACTCACCTAGTCACTCACCTAGTCACTCACTCACCTAGTCACTCACTCACCTAGTCACTCACTCACCTAGTCACTCACCTAGTCACTCACTCACTCACCTACTCACTCACTCACTCACCTAATCACTCACCTAGTCACTCACCTAGTCACTCACCTAGTCACTCACCCACTCACTCACCAAGTTTGGGCTGGCGACACCAGGTTCACGTACAGAGAGCATCCTGATGTCGCTACCCCTCACCGCCCGGTGAGTGGCCACTCACCCACACACCTAGTCACTCACCTAGTCACTCACTCACTCACCTACTCACTCACCTAGTCACTCACTCACCTACACACTCACCCACTCACTCACCTAGTCACTCACTCACCTACTCACTCACTCACTCACCTAGTCACTCACCTAGTCACTCACTCACTCACCTACTCACTCACTCACTCACCTAGTCACTCACTCACTCACCTACTCACTCACCTAGTCACTCACTCACCTACACACTCACCTACTCACTCACCTAGTCACTCACTCACCTACTCACTCACTCACTCACCTAGTCACTCACCTAGTCACTCACTCACTCACCTACTCACTCACTCACTCACCTAGTCACTCACTCACTCACCTAGTCACTCACCTACTCACCTAGTCACTCACCTAGTCACTCACACACTCGCCTAGTCACTCACCTAGTCACTCACTCACCCACACACCTAGTCACTCACTCACCCACTCACACACTCACCTAGTCACTCACCTACTCACTCACCTAGTCACTCACTCACCCACTCACCCACACACTCACCTAGTCACTCACCTAGTCACTCACTCACCCACTCACCCACACACTCACCTAGTCACTCACCTACTCACTCACCTAGTCACTCACTCACCCACACACTCACCTAGTCACTCACCTAGTCACTCACCCACACACTCACCTATTCACCTAGTCGCTCACCTACTCACTCACCCACTCACTCACTCACCCACTCACCCACACACTCACTCACCTACTCACTCACCTACTCACCCACTCACTCACCTACTCACTCACCTACTCACCCACTTACTCACCTACTCACTCACCTACTCACCCACTCCGCCACCCACTCACTCACTCACCAACCCACCCACCCACTCACCCACCCACCTACTAACTCTCACCTACTCACTCACCCACTCATGCACCCACCCACTAACCCACCCACTCACTGACCCACCCACTAACCCACCCACTAACCCACTCACTCACCAACCCACTCACCAACCCACTCACCCACCCACTAACCCACCCACTAACCCACTCACTCACCCATCCACTAACCCACCCACTAACCCACCCACTCACCCATCCACTAACCCACTCACCCACTCACTCACCCACTCACCCACTCACCCACCCACTCACTCACCCATCCACTAACCCACCCACTAACCCACTCACTCACCCATCCACTAACCCACCCACTAACCCATCCACTCACCCATCCACTAACCCACTCACCCACTAACCTACTTACCCACTCACTCACCCACTCACTCACCCACTCACTCACCCACCCACTCACTCACCCACCCACTCACCCACCCACCGCTCACCACCCCTCACCAGGTGGGAGTATGCGTTTGAGCCGGAGCCTGGCAGCCCTGAGGAGAAGATGCTGGACGTGCTGAGAAACCCTAGAGACTGGGTCTGACTCACCATCTCACTCACCATCTCACTCACCCATTCACTCAACACTCAACCGCTCACTCAACCATTTACTCACCACTCACTCAACCACTCGCAACTCACTCCTCACCCACTCACCCACTCACTCCTCACCCACTCACCCACTCAACCGCTCACTCAACCACTCACCATATGGCGCTACTGATAAAGTTATAGCGACGTCAGTGAGGCTACTGATAAAGTTATAGCGACGTCAGTGAGGCTACTGATAAAGTTATAGCGACGTCAGTGACGCTACTGATAAAGTTATACCGAAGTCAGTGAGGCTACTGATAAAGTTATAGCGACGTCAGTGACGCTACTGATAAAGTTATAGCGACGTCAGTGAGGCTACTGATAAAGTTATACCGACGTCAGTGAGGCTGCTGATAAAGTTATACCGACGTCAGTGAGGCTACTGATAAAGTTATAGCGACGTCAGTGAGGCTACTGATAAAGTTATACCGACGTCAGTGAGGCTACTGATAAAGTTATAGCGACGTCAGTGAGGCTACTGATAAAGTTATAGCGACGTCAGTGACGCTACTGATAAAGTTATAGGGACGTCAGTGAGGCCACTGATCAAGTTATACCGACGTCAGTGAGGTTACTGATAAAGTTATAGCGACGTCAGTGAGGCTACTGATAAAGTTATAGCGACGTCAGTGACGCTACTGATAAAGTTATAGCGACGTCCGTGAGGCTACTGATAAAGTTATACCGACGTCAGTGAGGCTACTGATAAAGTTATAGCGACATCAGTGAGGCTACTGATAAAGTTATACCGACGTCAGTGAGGCTACTGATAAAGTTATAGCGACGTCAATGAGGCTACTGATACAGTTATAGCGACGTCAGTGAGGCTACTGATAAAGTTATAGCGACGTCAGTGAGGCTACTGATAAAGTTATAGCGACGTCAGTGAGGCTACTGATACAGTTATACCAACGTCAGTGAGGCTACTGATAAAGTTATACCAGCGTCTGTGAGGCTACTGATAAAGTTATAGCGACGTCAGTGACGCTACTGATAAAGTTATAGCGACGTCAGTGAGGCTACTGATAAAGTTATAGCGACGTCAGTGAGGCTACTGAAGTTATAGCGACGTCAGTGACGCTACTGATAAAGTTATACCGACGTCAGTGAGGCTACTGATAAAGTTATACTGACGTCAGTGAGGCTACTGATAAAGTTATACCGACGTCAGTGAGGCTACTGATAAAGTTATACCGACGTCAGTGAGGCTACTGATAAAGTTATACCGACGTCAGTGAGGCTACTGATAAAGTTATACCAACGTTGGTGAGGCTACTGATAAAGTTATAGTGACGTCAGTTAGGCTACTGATAAAGTTATAGCGACGTCAGTGAGGCTACTGATAAAGTTATAGCGACGTCAGTTAGGCTACTGATAAAGTTATAGCGACGTCAGTGAGGCTACTGATAAAGTTATAGCGACGTCAGTGAGGCTACTGATAAAGTTATAGCGACGTCAGTGACGCTACTGATAAAGTTATAGCGACGTCCGTGAGGCTACTGATAAAGTTATACCGACGTCAGTGAGGCTACTGATAAAGTTATAGCGACATCAGTGAGGCTACTGATAAAGTTATACCGACGTCAGTGAGGCTACTGATAAAGTTATAGCGACGTCAGTGAGGCTACTGATACAGTTATAGCGACGTCAGTGAGGCTACTGATAAAGTTATAGCGACGTCAGTGACGCTACTGATAAAGTTATACCGACGTCAGTGAGGCTACTGATAAAGTTATAGCGACGTCAGTGAGGCTACTGATAAAGTTATAGCGACGTCAGTGAGGCTACTGATCAAGTTATACCGACGTCAGTGAGGCTACTGATAAAGTTATAGCGACGTCAGTGAGGCTACTGATAAAGTTATACCAACGTCAGTGAGGCTACTGATAAAGTTATACCAGCGTCTGTGAGGCTACTGATAAAGTTATAGCGACGTCAGTGACGCTACTGATAAAGTTATAGCGACGTCAGTGAGGCTACTGATAAAGTTATAGTGACGTCAGTGAGGCTACTGATAAAGTTATAGCGACGTCAGTGAGGCTACTGATGAAGTTATAGCGACGTCAGTGACGCTACTGATAAAGTTATACCGACGTCAGTGAGGCTACTGATAAAGTTATACCGACGTCAGTGAGGCTACTGATAAAGTTATACCGACGTCAGTGAGGCTACTGATAAAGTTATACCGACGTCAGTGAGGCTACTGATAAAGTTATACCGACGTCAGTGAGGCTACTGATAAAGTTATACCAACGTTAGTGAGGCTACTGATAAAGTTATAGTGACGTCAGTTAGGCTACTGATAAAGTCATAGTGACGTCAGAAACGTGAGAATATTATTGTGTTATTTTATTTTATCAATTTATTATTTTATTCTCATTCTACGTGGTGACTTTACCGAAAGAACCAAAGAAGATGAATAATTGCAGTCACGAAAGCTTTAAATCGAAATTTGACGTCAGTGAGGCTACTGATAAAGTTATAGCGATGTCAGTGAGGCTACTGATAAAGTTATACCGACGTCAGTGAGGCTACTGATAAAGTTATACCGATGTTAAATCACTTTTTGATATTCTTGGTTCTTTCGGTAAAGTCACCACCACGTAGAAGGGAAACAATAAAATAATAAAAATATAAAACAATAACATTATTATTCTTGGTTCTTTCGGTAAAGTCACCACCACGTAGAAGGGAAACAATAAAATAATAAAAATATAAAACAATAAAATTATTATTCTTGGTTCTTTCGGTAAAGTCACCACCACGTAGATAGGGAAACAATAAAATAATAAAAATATAAAACAATAACATTATTATTCTTGGTTCTTTCGGTAAAGTCACCACCACGTAGAAGGGAAACAATAAAATAATAAAAATATAAAACAATAAAATGATTATTCTTGGTTCTTTCGGTAAAGTCACCACCACGTAGATAGGGAAACAATAAAATAATAAAAATATAAAACAATAAAATTATTATTCTTGGTTCTTTCGGTAAAGTCACCACCACGTAGAAGGGAAACAATAAAATAATAAAAATATAAAACAATAAAATTATTATTCTTGGTTCATTCGGTAAAGTCACCACCACGTAGAAGGGAAACAATAAAATAATAAAAATATAAAACAATAAAATTCTTATTCTTGGTTCTTTCGGTAAAGTCACCACCACGTAGATAGGGAAACAATAAAATAATAAAAATATAAAACAATAAAATTATTATTCTTGGTTCTTTCGGTAAAGTCACCACCACGTAGAAGGGAAACAATAAAATAATAAAAATATAAAACAATAAAATTATTATTCTTGGGTCATTCGGTAAAGTCACCACCACGTAGAAGGGAAACAATAAAATAATAAAAATATAAAACAATAAAATTCTTATTCTTGGTTCTTTCGGTAAAGTCACCACCACGTAGATAGGGAAACAATAAAATAATAAAAATATAAAACAATAAAATTATTATTCTTGGTTCTTTCGGTAAAGTCACCACCACGTAGATAGGGAAACAATAAAATAATACAAATATAAAACAATAAAATTATTATTCTTGGTTCTTTCGGTAAAGTCACCACCACGTAGATAGGGAAACAATAAAATAATAAAAATATAAAACAATAAAATTATTATTCTTGAGTTCTTTGGGTAAAGTCACCACCACGTAGAAGGGAAACAATAAAATAATAAAAAAATATAAAACAATAAAATTATTATTCTTGGTTCTTTGGGTAAAGTCACCACCACGTAGAAGGGAAACAATAAAATAATAAAAATATAAAACAATAAAATTCTCACGACGTTTGGACTGCAACACAAGCAATCATCATCAGGTGTGAATACCACAACAATAATGTTTTTATTCTTAGTTTTTTATATATATTTTGTTGTTTCTCTTCAACGTGACTTTACCGAAAAAACTAAGAATATGAATTACTGCAGTCACGAAAGCTTTAAATCAAAATTTAATGTTTTTCTTGCTGTTTTATATTTTTATTATTTTATTGTTTCCCTTCTACGTGGTGACTTTACCGAAAGAACCAAGAATATAAAAATCACATTTTTAAAAATATTTTTATTATTTGATATTTTTTATTATTTTATTACTTTATAAAAATATTTAAAAAAATGTTTTATCTTTTTATTATTTTATTGTTTCCCTTCTACGTGGTGACTTTACCGAAAGAACCAAGAATATAAAAATCACATTTTTTTTAATATTTTTATTATTTGATGATATTTTTATTATTTTATTACTTTATAAAAATATAAAAAACATTTTTTATCTTTTTATTATTTTATTGTTTCCCTTCTACGTGGTGACTTTACCGAAAGAACCAAGAATATAAAAATCACATTTTTAAAAATATTTTGATTATTTGATATTTTTATTTTTTTATTACTTTATTTAAAAAATTGTTTTATATTTTTATCATTTTATTGTTTCCCTTCTACGTGGTGACTTTACCGAAAGAACCAAGAATACTTTAAACCACTTTATAAAGTTGTTGAATATTAATCAGTAAAGTGATTACCAATGTTTTATATAAGTCCCGCTGTTGGTAAAGTTATTGAATGTTAATCTGAGCTTTAAAATTGGTGTGTTTGTGTTGCCTATAAAGTTATACAATCCTTATCAAGTTATTCGATTCCGATGGTTATCGATAAAGTTTACTTTGATTACCCAGCTGCTATCGATAAAGTTATTGAATTGAATCCCTACCCCCCCTGCACCTCACTAATGTGGAGCTGTCCATAAAGTTACTTTGATAATTATCGATGCACTTACCACTCAGTGAATGTAGCCATCAATAAATGTAATCGATCTATATTTCTACGACGTTTTCAATAAAGTTTTTTTTTAATCTTAACTCTCGCCTGAGCCTCTCTCCGTGACTCCGCCCCCCCAATCGGTGACTCCTCCCCCCCCAATCGGTGACTCCTCCCCCTTCCCGTGATTACCCCCCCTCAGTAACTCCTCCCTCCCCCTGGGTAACTCCTCCCCCCTCGGTGACTCTTCCCCTACTTGACTCCTCCCCCTTGGCTTCCTCCCCACCCTTCCCTTGACTCCTCCCCCTTTCCTCCTCCCCTTCCATTGGCTCCTCCCCCACTGATCCCTTCTCTTGACTCCCCCTTTCATCCTCCCCTTTGCTCCTCCCCCACTGATCCCTTCCCTTGACTCCTCCCCCTTTCCTCCTCCCCCCTTCACTTGGCTCCTCCCCCACTGATCTCTTCCCTTGACTCCTCCCCCTTTCCTCCCTTCCCTTGGCTCCTACCCCACTGATCCCTTCCCTTGACTCCTCCCCCTTTCCTCCTCCCCCCTTCACTTGGCTCCTCCCCCACTGATCCCTTCCCTTGACTCCTCCCTTGGCTCCTCCCCCCTGATCTCTTGACTCCTCCCCCACCGCCTTGGCCCCTCCTCGTGTCTTACCCACTGTGTTCTGCCACTTCTCGGTCGTCTCCTCCTCCACCTCCTCCACCTCCTCCACCTCCTCCACCTCCTCCTCCACCTCCTCCACCTCCTCCTCCACCTCCTCGCGATGTCTTCTACACCTCGTCGACACCTCATCCTCCTCCACCTCCTCCACCTCCTCCTACTACTCTCAGTGGCGTCCATGGATCCAGGTGATGGTGGTGTTGGTGGTGTTGATGGTGGTGGTGATGGTGATGATGATGTTGATGATGGTGGTGGTGTTGATGTTGGAGGTGATGGTGGTGGTGGTGGTGTTGATGATGGTGTTGTTGATGGTGGTGGTGAGAGGGGTGATGGTGGTGGAGGTGATGGTGTTGATGGTGGTGGTGTTGATGGTGGTGGTGGTGTTGATGATGGTGGTGGTGTTGATGGTGGTGGTGATGGTGATGATGATGTTGGTGATGGTGGTGGTGGTGTTGATGGTGGTGGTGGTGGTGTTGATGGTGGTGGTGGTGGTGGTGTTGATGATGGTGTTGGTGGTGGTGGTGTTGATGGTGATGATGGTGGTGGTGGTGATGGTGGTGGTGTTGATGGTGAGTGATGGTGGTGGTGGTGTTGATGGTGGTGGTGTTGATGGTGGTGGTGAGAGGGGTGATGGTGGTGGAGGTGATGGTGTTGATGGTGGTGTTGTTGATGGTGGTGGTGGTGTTGATGATGGTGGTGGTGGTGATGGTGGTGGTGATGGTGATGATGATGATGGTGGTGGTGGTGTTGATGGTGGTGGTGGTGGTGTTGATGGTGGTGGTGGTGGTGATGGTGGTGGTGTTGTTGATGGTGTTGTTTATGATGGTGGTGGGGGTGGTGGTGTTGATGATGGTGGTGATGGTGGTGGTGTTGATGGTGTTGTTGATGATGGTGATGGTGGTGATGGTGGTGGTGTTGATGGTGATGGTGGTGTTGATGGTGTTGTTGATGGTGGTGGTGGTGGTGTTGATGGTGGTGGTGGTGTTGATGATGGTGGTGTTGATGGTGGTGATGGTGGTGTTGATGGTGGTCTTGAGTGATGGTGCTGATGGTGAGTGATGGTGTTAATGCTGAGTGTTGGTGGTGAGTGATGGTGAGTGATGGTGGTGAGTGTTGATGGTGAGTAATGGTGGTGAGTGTTGATGGTGAGTAATGGTGGTGAGTGATGGTGGTGAGTGATGGTGGTGAGTGATGGTGGTGAGTGTTGATGGTGAGTGATGGTGGTGAGTGATGGTGGTGAGTGATGGTGGTGAGTGATGGTGAGTGTTGGTGGTGAGTGATGGTGGTGAGTGTTAATGCTGAGTGTTGGTGGTGAGTGATGGTGAGTGTTGGTGGTGAGTGATGGTGGTGAGTGTTGATGGTGAGTGATGGTGGTGAGTGATGGTGGTGAGTGTTGATGGTGAGTGATGGTGGTGAGTGATGGTGGTGAGTGGTGGTGGCGAGTGGTGAGTGATGGTGGTGAGTGATGGTGGTGAGTGATGGTGGGGAGTGATGGTGGTGAGTGTTGATGGTGGTGAGTGATGGTGGTGAGTGTTGATGGTGAGTGATGGTGTTGATGGTGGTGAGTGATGGTGGTGAGTGTTGATGGTGAGTGATGGTGGTGAGTGTTGATGGTGAGTGATGGTGGTGAGTGATGGTGGTGAGTGATGGTGGTGAGTGGTGGTGTTAATGGTGAGTGGTGGTGTTAATGCTGAGTGATGGTGGTGAGTGATGGTGGTGAGTGGTGGTGGTGAGTGGTGGTGGTGAGTGATGGTGGTGAGTGTTGGTGGTGAGTGATGGTGGTGAGTGATGGTGGTGAGTGGTGATGGTGGTGAGTGGTGATGGTGGTGAGTGGTGGTGGTGAGTGATGGTGGTGAGTGGTGGTGTTAATGCTGAGTGTTGGTGGTGAGTGTTGGTGGTGAGTGATGGTGGTGAGTGGTGGTGGTGAGTGTTGATGGTGAGTGATGGTGGTGAGTGGTGGTGTTAATGGTGAGTGGTGGTGGTGAGTGATGGTGGTGAGTGATGGTGAGTGATGGTGGTGAGTGGTGGTGTTAATGCTGAGTGATGGTGGTGAGTGATGGTGGTGAGTGATGGTGGTGAGTGGTGGTGGTGAGTGGTGGTGGTGAGTGGTGGTGGTGAGTGGTGGTGGTGAGTGGTGGTGTTAATGCTGAGTGATGGTGGTGAGTGATGGTGGTGAGTGATGGTGGTGAGTGATGAGTGATGGTGGTGAGTGATGAGTGATGGTGGTGAGTGATGGTGGTGAGTGGTGGTGTTAATGGTGAGTGATGGTGGTGAGTGTTGGTGGTGAGTGATGGTGGTGAGTGGTGATGGTGGTGAGTGGTGGTGTTAATGGTGAGTGATGGTGGTGTGTGATGGTGGTGAGTGTTGGTGGTGAGTGGTGGTGTTAATGGTGATGGTGGTGAGTGTTGGTGGTGAGTGGTGGTGTTAATGGTGATGGTGGTGCGTGATGGTGGTGAGTGGTGGTGTTAATGGTGAGTGATGGTGATGAGTGATGGTGGTGAGTGATGGTGGTGAGTGAGTGATGGTGGTGAGTGATGGTGGTGAGTGGTGGTGGTGAGTGGTGGTGGTGAGTGATGGTGGTGAGTGGTGGTGGTGAGTGGTGGTGGTGAGTGGTGGTGTTAATGGTGAGTGATAGTGGTGAGTGATGGTGGTGAGTGGTGGTGAGTGATGGTGTTGTTGGTGTTAATGGTGAGTGGTGTTTACGCAACAGACATCATTGAGAAACATCAGCAGTCAGCAGTCTTGCAACACCATCAGAGAAAGGTTCCCCGTGTAGCCTCTAAGAGACTCTGGGGCAAGTGCTGTCCCCACAGAGGCATTGACAACGCCACTCGTGCCAGGCTAGGTGCACATTGAGGTCGTTACGTGATGTGGGTCAGTTGCAAGAGGTCACGGGGTCAGACCGTGACTGCCACCCACCCACTCAGCCACTCACTCACTTACTCACTCACTCACCCACTCACTCAGTCACCCACTCACCCACTCACTCACTTACTCATACACTCATTCACTCACCCACTTACTCACCACTCACTCACCCACTCAGCCACTCACCCACTCACTCACCCACTCAGCCACTCACCCACTCACTCACTCACTCACCCACTCACTTACCACTCACTCACTCACCACTCACTCACCCACTCAGCCACTCACCCACTCACCCACTCACTCACTCACCCACTCACTCACCCACTCACTTACCACTCACTCACCCACTCACCCACTCACTCACCCACTCACTTACCACTCACTCACCCACTCACTCACCACTCACTCACCCACTCACCCACTTACTCACCACTCACTCACCCACTCAGCCACTCGCCCACTCACTCACTCACCCACTCACTCACTCACCCACTCACTCACTCACCCACCCACTCACACACCACTTACTCACTCACCCACTCACCCACTCACCCACTCACTCACCCACTCACTCACTCACCCACTCACTTACCACTCACTCACCCACTCACCCACTTACTCACCACTCACTCACCCACTCACCCACTTACCACTCACTCACTCACTTACTCACTCACTCACTTACTCACTCACTCACCCACTCACTCACTCACCCACCCACTCACACACCCACTCACACACCACTCACTCACTCCCCCACTCATCCACTCACTCACTCACCCACCCACTCACACACCACTTACTCACTCACTCACCCACTCACTCACTCACCCACTCACTCACTCACTTACCACTCACTCACCCACCCACTCACTCACCCACTCACCCACTTACTCACCACTCACTCACCCACTCACCCACTTACCACTCACTCACTCACTCACCCACTCACTTACCCACTCACTCACTCACCCACTCATCCACTCACTCACTCACCCACCCACTCACACACCACTTACTCACTCACTCACCCACTCACTCACTCACCCACTCACTCACTCACTCACCCACTCACCCACTCACCCACTCACTCACTCACTTACCACTCACTCACCCACCCACTCACTCACCCACTCACCCACTTACTCACCACTCACTCACCCACTCACCCACTTACCACTCACTCACCCACTCACCCACTCACTTACCCACTCACTCACTCACCCACTCATCCACTCACTCACTCACCCACCCACTCACACACCACTTACTCACTCACCCACTCACTCACCCACTCACCCACTTACCACTCACTCACCCACTCACTCACTCACTCACCCACTCACCCACTTACCACCCACTCACCCACTCACTCACTCACCCACTCACTCACTCACCCACTCATCCACTCACTCACTCACCCACCCACTCACACACCACTTACTCACCCACTCACTCACCCACTCACTCACTTACCCACTCACTCAATCACCCACTCACTCACTCACCCCACCCCCCACCCCCACCGCCCAGCCCCCACCCCCCAGCCCCCACCCTCTGTGTGTGGTTGAACCGGTTTCTCTTGACCGCGCAGACACGTGGTCACGTGATGCCACACAGACACAGGACACCCGGGTAGCTCACCAACTCACTCACCACTCACTCACCAACTCACTCACCACTCACTCACCAACTCACTCACTCACCATCTCACTCACCAACTCACTCACCACTCACTCACCAACTCACTCACCACTCACTCACCAACTCACTCACCACTCACTCACCACTCACTCACCAACTCACTCACCAACTCATTCACCACTCACTCACCAACTCACTCACTCACCATCTCACTCACCAACTCACTCACCAACCCACTCACTCACCATCTCACTCACCAACTCACTCACCAACTCACCACTCACCACTCACCATCTCACTCACCACTCACTCACCACTCACCATCTCACTCACCATCTCATTCACCACTCACTCACCATCTCACTCACCATCTCACTAACTATCTCATTCACCACTCACTCACCAACTCACTCACCATCTCACTCACCAACTCACCCCTCACTCACCACTCACTCACCAACTCACTCACCAACTCACCACTCACCAACTCACTCACCACTCACCATCTCACTCACCATCTCACTCACCATCTCACCACTCACCACTCACTCACCACTCACTCACCAACTCACCATCTCACTCACCATCTCACTCACCACTCACCACTCACTCACTCACCACTCACTCACCACTCACTCACCACCTCACCAACTCACTCACTCACCATCTCACTCACCACTCACCACTCACTCACCATCTCACTCACTCACCATCTCACTCACCATCTCACTCACCATCTCACTCACTCACCACTCACTCACCACTCACTCACCATCTCACTCACTCACTCACCATCTCACTCACCATCTCACTCACCACTCACCATCTCACTCACCACTCACTCACCATCTCACTCACCACTCACTCACCAACTCACCACTCACCACCTCACTCACCATCTCACTCACCACCTCACTCACTCACTCACCAACTCACCACTCACTCACCATGTCACTCACCATCTCACTCACCATCTCACTCACCATCTCACTCACCATCTCACTCACCACTCACCATCTCACTCACTCACTCACCATCTCACTCACCATCTCACTCACTCACTCACCATCTCACTCACCATCTCACTCACTCACTCACCATCTCACCACTCACTCACCACTCACTCACCATCTCACCACTCACTCACTAACTCACCACCTCACTCACTCACCACCACACTCACCATCTCACTCACCAACTCACTCACCACTCACCACTCACTCACCACTCACCACTCACTCACCACTCACTCACCACTCACCACTCACTCACCAACTCATTCACTAACTCACTCACCACTCACCACTCACTCACCACTCACTCACCAACTCACTCACCACTCACCACTCACTCACCAACTCACTCACCAACTCACTCACTCACCACCTCACTCACCCACTCACTCACCATCTAACTCACCATTTCACTCACCACTCACCATCTCACTCACCACCTCACTCACCAACTCACTCACCAACTCACCATCTCACTCACCACTCACCACCTCACTCACCACTCACCACCTCACCATCTCACTCACCACTCACTCATCACTCACTCATCACTCACTCACCATCTCACTCACTCACCATCTCACTCACCACCTCACCACTCACTCACCACCTCACTCACCACCTCACTCACACAAAGCTCCCCCAGGTAGCCTCTAGCAGGGCTGTAGGGGCAAGTGCTGTAACACACACACAGACAAAGCTCCCCCAGGTAGCCTCTAGCAGGGCTGTAGGGGCAAGTGCTGTTACACACACAGACAAAGCTCCCCCAGGTAGCCTCTAGCAGGGCAGTAGGGGCAAGTGCTGTTACCGAGCACCTATGAAGGCTGGTACGGCACACGAGGGGGTGGGTGGCCAGCACCACGCTCGGCCGCCTTTGTCTCCCCAGGTACTCATTTGAGGCTGAGTCGACCTAGGGGAGGTCCGGGACCGGTTCAGATAATCGTCACTGGTGTTGGCCGTGAGCGGGAATTGAACCCGGGTCGTCGGGTTCATAGCGCAGCGTAGCGCTAACCACTACACTATCACTCCCCATAGACACAGAGATACACACACACACAGATACACACACAGATACACACACAGACACACACACAGACACACACACAGATACACACACAGACACACACAGACACACACAGAGATACACACACACAGACACACACAGTACACACACACACAGTACACACACACACAGTACACACACACAGACACACACAGCACACACACACAGATACACACACAGACACACACAGTACACACACACAGATACACACACAGACTGACACACACACAGTACACACAAACACAGACTGACACACAGACACACACAGACACACACACAGACTGACACACACACAGTACACACACAGACACACACACAGACTGACACACAGACTGACACACAGACACACACACACAGACACACACACACACAGACTAACACAGACACAGTACACAGACACACACACAGACACACACACACACAGACACACACAGTACACACACACAGTACACACACACACAGTACACACACAGTGACACACACAGTACACACACACAGTACACACACACACAGTACACACACAGACACACACAGTACACACACACAGATACACACACAGACGGACACACACACAGTACACACACACACACAAACACAGACTGACACACAGACACACACACACAGACACACACACAGACTGACACACACACAGTACACACACAGACTGACACACAGACTGACACACAGACACACAGACTAACACAGACACAGTACACAGACACACACACAGACACACGCAGACACACACACAGACACACACACACAGACACACACACACACAGAGACACACGTAGAGACACACTGACACACAGACACACACAGACACACACAGACACAGACACACGCAGACACACACACAGACTGACACACAGACTGACACACAGACACACACACAGACACACACACACAGACTAACACAGACACATTACACAGACACACACAGACACACAGACACACACAGAGATACACACACACAGACACACACAGTACACACACACACAGTACACACACACACAGTACACACACAGTGACACACACAGACACACACAGCACACACACAGATACACACACAGACTGACACACACACAGTACACACAAACACAGACTGACACACAGACACACACACACAGACACACACACAGACTGACACACACACAGTACACACACAGACACACACACAGACTGACACACAGACTGACACACAGACACACACAGACACACACACAGGCTAACACAGACACAGTACAAAGACACACACACAGACACACGCAGACACACACACAGACACACACACACAGACACACACACACAGAGACACACGTAGAGACACACTGACACACAGACACACATAGACACACACAGACACACACACAGACACACGCAGACACACACACAGACACACACACAGACACACGCAGACACACACACAGACACACACAGACACACACACACAGACACACACACAGACACACGCAGACACACACACACAGACACACACAGACACACACAGACACAGACACACACACAGACACACGCAGACACACACAGACTGACACACAGACACACACACACAGACTGACACACAGACACACAAAAGACACAGACACACACACACAGAGACACACGTAGAGACACACTGACACACAGACACACACAGACACACACACAGACACACACACAGACACACGCAGACACACACACAGACACACGCAGACACACACACAGACACACACAGACACAGTACACAGACACACACAGACTGACACACAGACACACACACAGACTGACACACACACACACAGACACACACACATAGAGACACACGTAGAGACACACTGACACACAGACACACAGACACACACAGACACACGCAGACACACACACAGACTGACACACAGACACACACACACAGAAACACACACACAGACACACACAAACACACACAGACACAGACACACACAGACACACACACAGACTGACACACACAGACTGACACACAGACACACACACACACAGACACACACACACAGGGACACACGTAGAGACACACTGACACACAGACACACAGACACACACACACACAGACACACACAGATACACACAGACACACACACAGACACACACAGACACACACAGACACACACACAGACACACACAGACACACACACACAGACACACACACAGACTGACACACACACAGACTAACACAGACACACACATACACACACAGACACACACACTGACACACACAGACACACACACAGACACACACAGACACACACAGACAGACACACACAGGTACACAGACACACACATAGACACACACAGACACACACACAGACTGACACAATGTGTCTGATGGTGGTCTGTGTCTGACTGTGCCCTACAGTTCCCTTTGAGAACGTGACAACCGCCTCCTCCTACAACAACACCACCGTCACCATGACACCCGGAGCCAGCACAAGTACACTCAGACACTACACTCACACACACACTCAGACACTACACTCACACACTACACACACACACTACACTCAGACACTACACTCACACACTCAGACACACTCAGACACTACACTCAGACACACACACTCAGACACTACACTCACACACACTACACTCAGACACTACACTCAGACACTACACTCAGACACTACACTCACACACACACACTCAGACACTCACACACACACACTCAGACACTACACTCACACACACACTCAGACACTACACTCACACACACTCAGACACTACACTCACACACACACTCAGACACTACACTCACACACACACTCAGACACTAACACAGACACACACACTCAGACACACACACAGACACACACACACAGACACACACTCAGACACTACACACACACACAGACACACACACACTCACACACACACTCAGACACACACACACACACTCAGACACACACAGACACGACACCCAGACACTACACTCAGACACTACAGACACTCACACACACACTCAGACACACACACACACTCAGACACACACAGACACGACACCCAGACACTACACTCAGACACACACAGACACATAGACACACACACAGACACATAGACACACACACAGACACATAGACACACTCACACACACACTCAGACATACACACACTCAGACACACACTCAGACACACACTCAGACACTACACACACTCACACACACACTCAGACACACACAGACACGACACCCAGACACTACACTCAGACACACACAGACACATAGACACAGACACATAGACACACACACAGACACGACACTACACTCAGACACACACACAGACACACACAGACACAGACACACAGACACACAGACATACACACAGACACTACACTCAGACACACACACAAAGACACATAGACACACACACAGACACATAGACACACTCACACACACACTCAGACACACACACTCAGACACACACACACAGACACACACACACTCAGACACACACTCAGACACACACTCAGACACACACAGACACGACACCCAGACACTACACTCAGCGACACACACAGACACACACACACAGACTGACACACACTCAGACACACACACAGACACTACACACAGACACTCAGTCACACACACACGGACACTACACACAGACACTACACTCAGACACACAGACACTTCATATACGCACTACACACAAATGCATAGCTACACCCAGACACTACATATACACATATACTACACACACAGCTACACACACACGTACACACACAGATACACACACACACAGATATACACACACACAGAGACTGCACACACACAGACTGCACACACAGAAACACACACAGATACACACACACAGCTACAAACACCGCTAGACATAGACACAGACACTACACAGACACATCTACAGCCAGACTACAGCCAGACTACAGCCAGACTATAGCCAGACTACAGCCAGACTACAGTCTGACTACAGCCAGACTGCAGCCAGACTACAGCCAGACTTTAACCAGACTACAGTTGGATGACATCCAGATCACAGCCACACCACACCCTCATACAACACCCTCACTACACCATGCCAGTGTCTGATGGTGGTCTGTGTCTGACTGTGCCCTACAGTTCCCTTCGAGAACGTGACAACCGCCTCCTCCTACAACAACACCACCGTCACCATGACACCCGGAGCCAGCACAAGTACACTCAGACACTACACTCAGACACTACACTCAGACACTACACTCACACACACACTCAGACACACACACTCAGACACTACACACTCAGACACACTCAGACACACACACACTCAGACACTACACACAGACACACACACACTCACACACACTCAGACACTACACACACACAAACACACACAGACACAGACACACACACACAGACACACACACACAAACAGACACACACACAGTGGCACACACACACAGTGACACACACAGTGACACACACAGTGACACACACACACAGTGACACACACACAGTGACACACACACAGTGACACACACAGTGACACACACAGTGACACACACACAGTGACACACACACAGTGACACACACACAGTGACACACACACACACAGTGACACACACACAGTGACACACACAGTGACACACACAGTGACACACACACAGTGACACACACAGTGACACACACACAGTGACACACACAGTGACACACACACAGTGACACACACAGTGACACACACACAGTGACACACACACACACAGTGACACACACAGTGACACACACAGTGACACACACACAGTGACACACACAGTGACACACACACAGTGACACACACACAGTGACACACACAGTGACACACACACAGTGACACACACAGTGACACACACACACAGTGACACACACACACAGTGACACACACAGTGACACACACACACACAGTGACACACACAGTGACACACACACAGTGACACACACACAGTGACACACACACAGTGACACACACACAGTGACACACACACACAGTGACACACAGTGACACACACACACACAGTGACACACACACAGTGACACACACACACAGTGACACACACAGTGACACACACACAGTGACACACACAGTGACACACACACACAGTGACACACACACAGTGACACACACACACAACGACACACACAGTGACACACAGAGTGACACACACACAGTGACACACACAGTGACATACACACAGTGACACACACACAGTGACACACACAGTGACACACACACACAGTGACACACACAGTGACACACACACAGTGACACACACACAGTGAGACACACACACACAGTGACACACACACAGTGACACACACACAGTGACACACACAGTGACACACACACACAGTGACACACATACACAGTGACACATACACAGTGACACACACAGTGACACACACACACAGTGACACACACACAGTGACACACACACACAGTGACACACACAGTGACACACACAGTGACACACACACAGTGACACACACAGTGACACACACACACAGTGACACACACACAGTGACACACACAGTGACACACACACACAGTGACACACACAGTGACACACACAGTGACACACACACACAGTGACACACACACAGTGACACACACACAGTGACACACAGAGTGACACACACACAGTGACACACACGGTGACACACACACACAGTGACACACACACAGTGACACACACAGTGACACACACACACAGTGACACACACAGTGACACACACACACAGTGACACACACAGTGACACACACACACAGTGACACACACAGTGACACACAGAGTGACACACACACAGTGACACACACAGTGACACACACACAGTGACACACACAGTGACACACACACAGTGACACACACAGTGACACACACACACAGTGACACACACACAGTGACACACACACACACAGTGACACACACACAGTGACACACACACAGTGACACACACACACAGTGACACACACAGTGACACACACACAGTGACACACACACACAGTGACACACACAGTGACACACAGAGTGACACACACACAGTGACACACACAGTGACACAACAACAACCGCCATTGGCCACTAAGTGGCGGTGACGTCACCACAACGCTTGTGCCAGGCTATGTGCACCTTGAGGCCACGTGAAGTGTCGAACGCCCGCTGGCAGGTGGTCACGGGGCAGACCCAGGTGCCACGGGTCGACTGACTGAGATGACTGGCTGATGCACCACCTGTGCCCCCTACTGTGCCAACCTGCTGTGCTTTAGCCACCCGGCGCTCCGCTCGCTGTTGTGAGCGTCGCTCCTCCGCCCTCCGTTGTTGTTGGAGGGCGACTGCCTCCAACTGCCCAGTAGCATCCTTCACGAGCCTCCTCCACAGAGGCCGATCTTGACACCGCTGGTACCAGTCATCGGCAAGTCCACTCAGCTCCACGTCCTCCTGTACCACATCACTCCATCTCTTCTCTAGCCCGTGCCGCGCCCGCTTAGCCCCCTCGATCCGGCCAAACAAAAGCTGTTTCGGCATGCGGTGGCTGGGCATGCGGGCTACATGACCCAGCCATCGCAGCCTTGCCTGCCGGAGGAGCTCACCGATGGGACCCTGCCCAGATCTTTCAAGGATTTGTGAGCTCCTCACACAATCCAGTCTGGTTAAACCCAGGATGGATCGTAGGCAGGCCAGCCTAAATGTTTCTAACCAGCGAAGATGTTCCATTAGGGGGGTCCACGTTTCGCAAGCGTAGAGAAGGGAGGGAATAACCGTGGCCGAGAAGACCTGAAGCTTAGTGCGGAGCGACAGACCAGGTAGCTTCCACACAGCGTTACGCAACCGATGAAAAGATATTGCCGCTCGACTGATTCGGAGTGAGACCTCTGCTGTTAAACTGGAGCCAGTCATAAGCACACTGCCCAGGTATGGGAAACTCTCCACTCTCTCCACAACTGCCCCATCACCGATTGGGAGTTGTGGGGGTGGAGTGTCCGATGGTACAAAATACCCAGGCAGGTGCTTAGTTTTGGTGGGGCTGATGGTAAGGCCCCACCTCTTAGTGGCACGCTCCAGTCTCAGCAGCAGCGTCTCCAACTCCTCCTCTGACTGAGCAGCTATTACCAAGTCATCAGCATACATAACGTGGTTGAGCAATAGGGAGCCATCCCTTGACCGCACCCGGGCATCGATTATCCTCCCATTATATCTGTACCATATGGAGATTCCCCCGGTACAGCTATTGAAGGCTTCACGAACTACGTGGTCAAAATAGATGTTAAATAATGTGGGAGCCAGAGGACATCCCTGTCGCACCCCAAGGTGTACAGGGAATGGCTCTGACTCCCAGCCACGTAGTTTTACCCGGGCCCGCTCACCATCATGAAGGTCCTTAATGATCGTGAGCAGAGGGTCAGGTACTCCAAAAGCACGAAGAACGACCCAGAGCCCAGGCCTACTGATGGTATCATAGGCCTTGACCAGGTCAATAAAGCAGAGATGTAGGTCTTGTTGGAATTCCCTACACCTCTGCTGTAGCAGACGGACAGAAAATATGGCATCTGTGCAGGACCGCCCTTTCCTGAAACCGCATTGGGGCTCCGCAAGCCTCTCCTCAGCGTGCCTGGCAAGGCGATGCTGAATAATCCTTGCCAGGACCTTTCCCGGCACACTGAGGAGTGAGATGCCCCTGTAGTTGTTACAGTCTGTGCGGACCCCCTTCTTAAAAAGGGGGACCACCAGGGCATCCTTCCAATCCTGCGGAACCCGTCCAGTGGTCCAGACTGTTGTTATGATGTCATATAGGGCAGTCTGTGCACAAACGCCACCCTCCCTCAGCATTTCGCTTGGGAGATCATCTCTGCCCGCTGCCTTTCCTGGTCTCAGACTCCGGATCGCCTTCAATACTTCCTCAGCAGATGGCACTTCAGCCAGCCACTCACAGGGGGTGACTTCATCCAATATTTGAGGCACCGCAGCCTCAGCAGGGTCATCCTCACTTTGTGCCACGATGTTTTCCTGGCTGAGGGATTTTCCCTCCCCCAGGACCTCACAGAAATGCTCAGCAAATCTGCGAACCTGTTCCTGGGGGTCGGAAATTGGATCACCGTTTTTTCCCCTAATGATGGTAATAGGTGTGGCGCTGCAGGTTACTTTTTTGATGGAGTTAAATAGAGATTTGTGATCACGGGCCACTGAGGCAGACTCCATCTCCTCAGCAACCCGCGACCACCACCCATCCTTGCAGCGCCTCACGGCTCTCCGAACCTCCGAGCGAAGGCTGCGGTAAGCCTCCTCATTCTCTGACGTGGGATTCTGTAGCCGATGACAGTGGGCCTGTCGCTTTTTCTCAACCATCGTGAACAACTCCTCTGTCATCCAGGGTGTCTGGGGAGGTCTGGACCGCGTACCCAAAGCAGCCATTGCAGCTGCATGAGTCACAGTCCTAAACCTCGCCCATTTACCCTCGACATCAGGAGGAGTCGGGGACGATGCCAATCCCAGCCGCAAGCGATGATGAAATTCTCGCTTGCAACTTTCATCAGATAACTGAGACCAGGCCACTTTAGGTTGGAATGGGGTCCTGGGTGTACACCCACCACCGGAGTGGAAGAATGGCAGGCGCATCTTACAGATGACTAGTCGATGGTCAGAGGGCAGATCAGCTCCACGGTAGGTCCTGGTGTCAAGGACATGGGCTCGCATTCGCTGGTCCGTCACTATGTAGTCCAGCAGATGTTCTTGCTTGGACCCGGCATGCATCCATGATGTTGTGTGGATGCGCCGATGCCGGAACAGCATGTTGGTAATTACAAGCCCATGGGCTGCACAAAAATCTAGCAGCCTCCTACCGTTGTTATTGAGCTGATCTGGCCCATGCCCTCCAATCACTCCAGACCAGGTGCCAGTATCATGACCAACTCGGGCATTGAAGTCACCCAACATGATGACTCTATCCCGAGGGGCCACTTTAGCCAGCACCTGTGACAGGAGGTCATAGAAGGCATCTGACTCATCGGCTTTGCCTGCATCCCTCCACGGATGTTCATCTTCGGTGGGGGCATAAGTAACCACGACCACCATTCCTCGCCTCCGGTTGATGGGAAGGCGAGCCCAAAGTAGCCTGGGGCTTACAGCTTCCCACACCTCACCGCCACGCTCCCACGCCCCCTTCATTCTTTTGTTCAAAAGAAG